CCAAAAGAACCAATATATCCGTGATGGAAGAAGTGCTGCCAGAGTGCTCCTTGGAGGTCAAGATGGCCAAACTTCGTCTCTTATACTTCGGACATATTGTCAGGAGGGACCAGTCCCTGGAGAAGGATATCATGTTTGGTAAGGTGGAGGGTCAGAGAAAAAGAGGTAGACCCGCAACGAGATGGATTAGCCAAGTGGCAGTATTGATGGGCTCAAGTATGGCAACTGTAGTGAGGTTGGCCCAGGATCAGGCAGTGTTTCGTTCTGCTGTGTGTAAGATTGCTATGAGTTGGTACCGACTTGATGGCACCTAACAACAACAACAACCTCCATGAATATAGGTCAGGTTCATCAAATTGTAGCAATTTATCCTTGTTTCCTTTATCAAAAAAAATTATTTTTTGTAATCTTCCTCTAGTAGAGTTCTGATTATCAAGCCTTCGAGGCTAGGTCAAATGGGTATTGTCTGCAAGTTTGGGTGTTCTTGTTCATCTCCCCTCACTTCATATTAACTGGATGCTTCACTCTCACTCAGCTCTAGCCCTCTGTGGCGATGTCCTTGTCCATGGGCTCAGGTGTTCCCAAGTCTCACCACACTTTGGACCAACCAGCTCTTCATCTTCTTTCTCTCATCTCCAGGTCAGCAGGAGTCAGTGTGGTTGAACTTAGCCCATTTCTTCATTGCTGCCTTTCCCCCTTTTCCACTTACCAGTAGACCAATATGGTCACCAGCAAGTTTACATGCCTTCCCTATTTCTCTTGGCTATAAAATGAAAACAGTTCTTGCCTGTCTCACAAGGTTGTTGCTAAGTGCTATCGAGTCAGTTCTGACTCAGAGTGACCCTGTATTGGGTTTCCAAGGAGCAACTGGTGAGTTTGCAATGTAGTCCTTACAGTTCACACTGACCTGGCTGTCTGGCGCATTATCCTGCAGCTCCACAAGGTGGTGAAAATACAAAAGCACTTTGTGAAGTGTGAAATAGATGAACTGTTATTTAGATGAAATGTATTATAGTTTTCATTTATTCAAAGACAGCATATATTTCAGTGCGCTCACTGCTAGGCACTGGGGAAACAAAGAATAAGAAAGGCCCTTATGTTTTTTTCCTTTGTCCTAAACTGCTTATTAGGCATGAATTTCACAAATATGATTTATATTAACAGTAACAGTGGAGCTGGAGGCTGTTGTCTTCTTCAAGTGGCCCAGTGAGTACCACCAATAGTGTGGTGGAACTTGTGGCCCTTCCCCAGGCCACAGCTCTGCAGCCTACAGATGTCAAACCATGCATCTCCCTGTGCTTGTGGACTGGCTTGGTGATCCACTGGGTGTCAGGATTTCTTCTTATAGCTTTATGGAATGGATCGATGAAGATAACTTTGCAAAATTTGTATGTGGAATTTTCACCAACTCAGTAAGAATTCAGGACTCTTAGGGCCCCACAGTGGCGTCCAGCTCGCTCCTCAGCCACAGACTGAAGGCTAGCAAACTTCAGCTCGTTAACACCATGATGGACAGGCTTGTCATAGGTTGCACCCTTAGGCACTGGGCATTTGAGGCCTCCTCTGCGCACACAAATCCGATAGATGACATAACCTTGCTTGGCCTTGTATCCCAGCCTGCGCGCCTTGTCTGGCAGGGTGGGATGGGGGTGGGGGGCCCTGTGCAGCGTGGAGAGCTGGTGGTACTGCCAACAGCGGACCCGCAGGAGAAATCACATCACATCAGACGGCTTCTTCCTCCATAGTTCCTGGATGCACTTGTAATCACCCATCTCGGCTTACCTTGATGGCTGCTGCCAGACCAAAAGGAAGCTGGTCCTTCTCTTTTAAGGAACTCAAGACTAGAGGGTATTTTTAGGATAATGGGTAGGATGGGACCCTAAAACTTGGCAACTAGAATAGGTCTAAAGAAGGCTACAGTCAGGCTAGCGCAAGGCAGTCTGTGTCCAGTTGCAAAGAGACGTAACAATTTCAAGAAACTTTCTTTGCAGGTCAGTCATCATCAGTCCACGAAGATGAGGGCTAAAGTAACTCAAAAGCTCCATATGCAGAAGGAAGCTGTGGGATGATGGGGAGGGTCCCACAAAGCCTTGTCAGCCTTTCTCCAGTGCCGGAAACCACAGGAAACCAGGTCAGTGCGTGGGGCCCGGCTCCCTCTGCTCCCAGCTTGGCGGTGAGTCTAGGACTTCCTGAGCAGGCTGCAGTGATGAGTGAGTGGGTCCTTGTAGCTGGAGGCCCCTTTGGCCTGGAGCCGTTTGCTCAGAACAGCCTGGAACTGCCTGGCAGCTGGGGAGAAAGCAGGGCTCTAGTCCTGAGGGTCAACTAGGTGGGGAGTTGAGGGTTAGAGGCAGGTGAGGTTCGTGTCCTGTTTAGCTTGTTTGTGTTTTGCTTTCTGCCCAACTCAAAACGATGCCTTAGTCACCTCTGTATCCTCAACATCTGGTGCACATGTCCAGGGGATGCTCAAGTCCGAGAGAGTGTGCTAATGGGCGGGTCAGATCTGCAGGGAGTTTCAGGAGTAGAAGGGGTTAAGAAATGGGTGCAGCCTGACAACCCTCACCTCCACCCCAACCCCAGTGCTGGTCCCTCTCTGACTCCTTCTCTAGCACAACAGAAGCACCCTGAATTTTTGGAGAGACCAGTGGATCTTTTGGGGGTCAGGAGTCCCTCAATCCCTGCATTGGAGGAAAAGGAATGTAGCTTGGCCAGCTGGTTAGGATCAAGGAGGAGCTCTGGGGCAGGGTGGGGCTGTGCTCCTGCTGGCTGGCTGGCTGGCGGGCTGGCGGGCTCACCTCTCTTCTCTTCCCTGCTGCAGCACAGCAAGGCCCTACCCCCTACCTGCAGGCTGTGCAGCCATGTTCTGGGTGCCCTGAGCCTACAGAAGCCCATGGGGAGCCCTAGACTAGCAGCCCTGCTCCTGCCTCCTCTCCTACTGCTCTTAGGTCTTTCTGCCTCTGCCAGGACTGGCTACTCCTACTTGCCCCGTTGGAACACCGGCTGTCTGCTGGCCTCCCACATGGTAAGGTGCCGCTGCCCGGTGGGGAAACCTACCGGCACAGGCTGATCCACCTCCTTACTCCATGCCTGCCTGCTCTCCCCTCTCTACCTCTCCAGCCCCTCTGCTCTGGTGGTAGCCTCTGCAGTCCTCTATACAGTCAGCAAAGTGTAGCCCAGGTCCCAGGCAGTGTGGAGCTGAGAAAAGGGGATGGGCTATTAGCTTATGGGCAGCAGACTTAGACAATGTGAAGTAAAGATTCCAGGGAGAACGCTCCTTATGGAAATCCTTACTAACACTAGCTCTCTCCTTTCTTTTCCCTACTGGGCCCTGTACTTCAGGATGACAGTTTCTCTGGTGAGTTTCATTTCTTATCCTGCCCCGTCTCCCCAAACCTCTTTTTGTGACAAATCCTCAATAAGCCCTTCATCCTAAATTTTGGTTCCTGGCCTGTGAAGTAGCATAGGATTAAGGGAAAAGTCCCTGGTTTGGAGTAAGGACAAGCCTGGATTTGCACTGCTGTCCTGCCAGGGACTTTACGCATAGCCTCAGGCGATTTACTTAACCCCCTCAAAGTTTCTGTTCTCAGAATTATAGTCTTGTTGTTGTTATATGTCATAGAATGGGTTCTGACTCTTAGCAACCCCATATAGGGTTTCCAAGGAGCAGCTGGTGAGCTTGAATAGCCGACCTTGGGGTTCAAACCGGCCTTCCAGTGCATTAACCCACAGTGCCACACCAGGACCCCGGGAATTATAGTAGCATGGTAGAAATGATTATCTGACTGGCAGAACCTGGAGACTATGGCCCTTGGTCCCCCTTCAGGTCTGAACTCACCCCCGTTGCTTAATTTTCATCGAAGAAATAGATAGGTATATAGGGGGGACAACAATACTGGGGAGGTCTGCACACCATAGAATGGTCAACTTTTGAGATCAAAAGGGCAGCATTTACCCAGGGACAATGTTCAGAAGGGTTGGGAAAGAAGGAGGACTGGAAACAGGAACCACAGGGAGAAAGTGGGATACCAGGGAGGGGATTGCAGTCACTGAGGTGAAACAAAGTGTATGATTTGTTGAATGTAAAACTGATGATCTGCTCTGTGAACCTTCACTCAACTCCCAATAAAAAGATTTATTAAAAAAAGAAATGATTGTCTGATGAAGACAGTGTTGCTTTTGAATAGTGAGAAGGATTAAAATGGGTAGAACCCACTGTAAGTGTTGGCTCCCCCCTCAATTGGTCCCCAGCTCCTCTTAGCACTACAGAGAGACAATAACCCTTCATATCTATGGTGCTTTCCTCTTTTACAAAGCATGTCCCCACACATTATCTTACTTGATCTTTACAACAGCACCATTTTGTGAATGAAGAAGCCAGGCTACCAGAACTTCCATAATTTGCTCAAGGCCATCCTTCTAGGATATTAGAGATAGAGTTAAGCTTCAAGCCCAGCTTGTCTGAGGCAAGAGGAATATCCTTGGGCCATTTCACTGGATTTCTTTACTCATCTTTTGCAGAAGGCCCTGCCCCTACTCTTAGCCATACCCATTTGGCCCTCTTCATCACAAAGCCCTGGTGTGCTTCGGTCTGCCACTGTCTGTGCTGTTTGTGCCTGCAACTTATGTCAAAGCCTTCAGGTATGAGAAACAGCCCCTGAGTCATTCTCCCATTCTCAGTGGAGATGTGACTATTGCAGGGGGGCAGGCTGGGGTGGAACCGCCTAGGTTGACACAAATGGGACTTGTCATCCTGTAACAGATGTTTGTCCTTCTGATGTCAACCTCAACATGAACCTTGTTGTTTTTTTATAGTGCCATTGAGTCAGTTCTGACTCATAGCGACTCTGTATAGGGTTTCCGAGGAGCAGCTGGTGGGTTTGATCTGTTGATCATGTGGTTTGAAGTCCAGTGTTGGTCCTACAGCGCTACACTAGGAGTCTAACATGAACTTAGATCGTCCTATTTGACTTAAAAAACACACAGCCAATCTAATATTCTTGAGTTCAATTGTATCACTTTGTGAAGGTGTTTTTCTTTTCAGCTGGTACAAATCCTTGGAATTAAAATTTTTTTTTTCAGTTATATGAATTTATTATTTTCTATTTGTGGATTCCTGGTGTACTGCCGTGGGTTAAGTTCAGTTTGAACCTCAAGGTTGGAGGTTCAAGCTCACCAGCCACTCCTCGGAAACCCTATACAGGGTCACTATGAGTCAGAAATGACTCGATGGCACTTAACAACAACGACTTCCTATTTGTAAAGTAGGATCCACTTTCATGTTGAACTCTGTATTTTCAATGCCTAGCTCAGTGTCTGGTATGTACTAAATGCCTATATGTACACTGCTTGTCTTTGAGTGCTGCTAACCCAAAGGCTAGAGACTTGAGTCTGTCTAGAGGCACCTTAAGGAGCTCTGGTAGTGTAGTGGTTACAAATCAGGTTGCGAACCGCAAGGTCAGCAGTTCGAAACTACCAGTTGTTTTGTGGGAGAAAGATGAGGCTTTCTGCTCCTGTAAAGATTTACAGCCTTGGAAACCCTGTACAAGGTCCCTATGAGTCGGAACCAACTCCATGGCTCATAACCAACCAACCAACCAGAAGTAACTTGGAAGTAAGGCCTGGCAATCTACCTTTGAAAACTCAGCTATTAAAACACATATTGGGTCACCTTGAGCCAGAGTTAACGCTACAACTGCTTAGGAATTGGAAGTTTCTAATTTTTCATTATTATATAGTTTTTTTTCTGTACTTAAGAAACAAATCCTCTTATTATTGTATTGTAACTTTCAGGACTAAAGAAGCGAAATCTTTGGCATCATTTTCCTCCTTGGTGTAAAATGACTTACTGTCTAACACTGGGGTGCATCTCCAGGTAGGGGAGGGGCAGAGAGGTGCTGGAGAGTAAGTGTGACTTCCTATCCTGCACAGGCCTTCGGTGGAGCTGGTTCCATTTCCTGGTGCAGAAATCCCAGAGGTCTTACAGGCTCAGGTTCTGTAGGGAACACAGGATGTCAGCTTCCGCTCAGGTATGCTCCCTGCCAGCTCCAGCCCTGTTCTGTGCCCTGAAGCCCTATCCCTTCTGTCTTTTCTAATTGTGCTCTTCAGCCATGCCAGGGAGATGGCAAGTGTGGAGATGAAGTGGGATCTCAGCTAATGAAACTGAGGTTGGAAGAAGTTGAGCAACTTGCCTGTAGTGTCCAGGTTCCAGAGACAGGAATAGATGCCAAGTTTTCTGACTCCTGGCCTAAGGCTAACCTTGTTCTCTGCTTACAGAGGAAGCTGAAGGTTCACATCCCCGTCCCCTCCCCAGACATCCCCCATGAGGTGCTGCGCTTTAAAAGGACCCAACCTACAGATCCGGAGGCAAAGGAAGGTCCCCCCAGACTGGACTCGCAGAAAGATGGAAGTAGGAATGGGGTGTGATAAGAGATGGACTCTGTCAAGTAGTGGTGTCTGTGCTAAGCTCAGATGCTACGGCCAAAAGCCACTAGGTGTCCCTTCTCCCCAGGACCTGAGTTCTCCTTTGATTTGCTGCCTGAGACACGGGTTATTCGGGTGACCATTCCTCCAGGCCCAGAGGTCAGCGTGCGTCTTTGTCACCAGTGGGTATTGGAGTGCGAAGAGCTGAGCAGTCCCTTTGATATCCAGGTATGGAGTGATACCCCCTGCAAAAAGCCAGGCCACACAGTGCTGGAGCTTAAGGGGCCTACCCATTGTACAGATGAGGAGACCAAGGCCTAGACAGGGAAAGTATTTGCCCAAGCCCTCACCATGAATGGCTAGCAGAGAAATGGAATGCGGAATTTACTCCAGTGAGAGGAAAACTCAGTGTAACACAGGTAGCACTAAAGTCTTTTCTGTTCCTTTAAGAGGTTGGTATTCTTCCATCTCCCTCCCTTATAACCTTTGTTCTTGTCCCTTGGGATATCCTCTACGCCCCCAACCCAGGCTAAGACCCCACAAAACTCCAGTTTTCACAGACACTCCTGGTCATAGCTAATGCATTTGCAGGGACCCATGATACACCCCTGGGGCCCTCAGCCCTCTTCGTGTATAAAATGGTGATGCTACTTTGCCAAGTCACTGTGTGGCCTGGCTGGAATTTACTTAATTGGGTTATTGCTTTTATCACCTAGCAACCTGCCTGGCACACAGGAGGTGCTCAGTAAATGTTTCTTTCTTTCTCTGTCTCCTTCTCCTACCCCAATATATTGAGACACTTATACAGCAAATTGTCAGTCTACAGAACAAGAGCCCCCTGAGAGGAAATTGCCCAATGAAAGAAATGAGTTTCCTATCAGAGGAAAAGTGTTGGCCAAGATCCCAGACTCCTCCTGCCCTTGTTCAGGGTACCTGTGTCCTTTGTCAGGCATGTCTTCTTCTCTTCCTTTGCTGCTTTGTCTACAGGAAATTGTGCCTGGGGGCCACATTGTTGACCTGCCTTATGAATTCCTTCTACCCTGCCTGTGCATAGAGGTAAGCAGAGGAAAGGGTGTGGGTTGTTCCTGGCTCTCCTGCAAGCTCCCTCAGGTACTGCAGTTGGTCAAGCCTATCTTCAATAAATCAGACTTAAAAGTGGCCAGGGGTTGCCAAGCTGCTTGGGAAGACTTGTCTGAGCATGACTGCGTGCCACACACTGGGTCTGATACAGAAGGGTTCTGCTGAACATAGGACACTCTTGAGGTGATGACTCTAGAGTAGACAGCTGCTCTTCACTGTGTGCTCTGGAGTCAAAATAGGGCTGTGTGGCCACTGCTGGTTTCCATCTCCTCAAAATCTTCTCCCCACTAGCCCTCCATGACAATCCCCTCTACTCCCTACATATCCGAGGTACCTACCATTAAGTCTTCCTTGGATTAGACAGAAAGGTTCAGCGAGTCTTGTCACCCAGGAGGAGATGAAAGACAAGGTGTAGGCAGAGACCTATAGCACTGTGGACAGTTGGGGGTTTGGGTAGACCAGGGTGAGGACCAACACTGGGCATGGGGCACCTTGGAGACAGCTGAGAGAAGAGGCCAGGGAAGTCCAAAGGTCGAGCAATGTGGATTTCTCCATCTCACTTGTTCTTTGCAGGAGAAGGGGAGTCAGCCCCTCACTTGCTGATTTCTTCCCCCAGATGCCCAGATGCCAAGCACCACCCACTCTTCCCCACACTCCGCATTGCTCCCTACCTCAGTTCCTTGCCAGCTCAGACAGCTTGCACCAGCATCAGGTAAAACCATTCTGACTGTCCATGCCTGTCCTCTGACCCTGCAGGCGTCCTACCTGCAAGAGGACACTGTGAGGCGGAAAAAATGTCCCTTCCAGAGCTGGCCTGAAGCTTGTGAGTGCTGCTCCTGTGTCTTTTGTGCATTTACACTTCTCTCTCTCACATGCACACACACACATACACATACTTCCCACCGGTGTTGGAGGAGGTCCCCAGAAGGCCTGCAGATACTCCCTAGCTACCATGTGTACCAGGCAGCCTGCTCACAAGTCAGGAGTACTGACCACTGATGAGGTACTGTGAGAGGTTCGGAAATGAGACCCAGTAGCTGGTGTCCTAAGAAGACCTGGGGTCACATCTCAGGTCTGCCACATTTTCTTCCCTAAGTCTCAAATTTCTCCAACTGTAATATGGGAATATGATCCGTGCCATACCTTACTTTCAAATGGTTTGTGAAGCTTGAATTAAATAAAGCTTGGTGATATCTAAAGCACTATAGGCACCTGGTTATCCTTCAGCTGGAGAGACAGAACATTCAAATGTAGCCAATGAATAGCACAAAATAGTTTTCAGTACAAGGCAGGCTAGAATTATGAGCTAGGTAGGCCTCAAAGCAAAAACTCAGGAAAAAAGGGAGAAGAGCACAAAGACTGTAGTGGGCAGAGGAGGTCTCTGTAGAAAAGGTGGCACCGAAATTGGAGCTCAGGCTTTAGAAACAAGACAAAGGAGGGGAAAGGTTCTGGAAGGGCAGAGATGTGAAGATTTTTTGAGTTTGGGGAGCTGGTAAGAATGGACGCCTAGGAAGGAGAGGAGACGGTGGATAGAAAAAGTAATATGGGGATGCTGGGAAAGGGATGCTCATTTGTTGAGTACTTAGCTGGGCTGGGAACCATGCTGGACATGAACACAAATGTCATCTGATGCCCTGAGGATGAGGGTGGCAAGCTGGGGCTGATGGGACTTTACCCTCTCACCTGCCATTGCCCAGATGGCTTGGATTTCTGGAAGTCAGTGCGTTTTACTGACTACAGTCAGCACAACCAGATGGTAATGGCCCTGACCCTCCGCTGCCCACTGAAGCCAGAGGCCTCCCTCTGCCAGAGACATGGCTGGCATGCCCTCTGTGAAGACCTCCCTAATGCCACAGCTCGAGAATCAGAGGGGGTGAGCACAGTCTCTCAGGGCCCGGGGGCAGGGTAGGGGCCTAGGGACTTTCTCCCTGACTAACTTCCATCTCCCTCTGCAGTGGTATGTTTTGGAGAAAGTGGACTTGCACCCCCAGCTCTGCTTCAAGGTTAAACCATGAGGGAGAGGTGGGAGGGCTAGGTCTTGTGGGGGAGGCATGGGTGCTCGCTTTCCCATGACCTAGCCCATGCTGACTCTCCACCCCTGTACTTCTCAGTTCTCTCTTGCCAACAGCAGCCATGTGGAATGCCCCCACAGGACTGGTGAGCCAAGAAATGACTTTGTCATTTCATTCTCACCCAACTGTGACCAAGCCAAACCCGAGCCCTGCCCTGACTCCCCATCAGCTGCAACCCATGAGCAGGATCTCTCATGTGATGTCCTCTCCCACTCTCCTGGGCAGTGTCATCCTGGAATGTCAGCCTGGACACACAGGCCCAGCAACTGATCCTTCACTTCTCCTCAAGGACGCATGCTACTTTCAGTGCAGCCTGGAGCCACACAGGTTTGGGGCAGGACAGCTTGGTGCCCCCTGTGTATAGTGTCAGCCAGGTAAGGCCTAGCCAGGGCTTACACCCCACCCCCACCACTACTTGGGTAGGTAGCAGCAGCCAAAGCCCTGACTTACACTACCTGGTTCATTTATTGACTTGATCAGCCTTTATTCAACTGGCTTCTCTGTCAAGGGTATTTGATGGCGCAATTTCTAAACCTTTTACTTTGGAACTTACAAGGTTAACCAGAGACTAGGGATTCACCTTCCCACAGGCATCTGTTTTCTGGCCCCATTTTATACTGATGTTGTTGTTACTGCTAAGTGCCTTGGTGTTAGTTTCAACTGATAGCGATCCTGTATATGGTTGGCTACTGAGTTTAAACTGGTCAGCAGTCCAGGGCTTATCCTACAGCTGTTCTCTACCACTGTTTTCCTACTGTACAAGGCACCTGTGCAGAAGTTCTTGGACTCTCTACAGAGGCACAGATCCTCGAAGTCAGTGTGCTTGTTGCAGAAAAGTGAGATTTAACTCGATTATGTAGTCTAAAATCAGTGGCACAGCAGACTCTCTTGCATGCATCTGATACAAAACTACAATCACACTACCTGCAAAACCACACGTGAAAAACCACAGCAACAAGCTAAGCATGACTAGCTCTTTCCAGTTCTTTCTTAAATGCTCACTTGCTACTTATTCATTTTGTAGTTTGTGAATGCTCCCAAGCAGAGCCCCCCCCCCAACATTACCCACTGCCATCGAGTCAATTCTGACTCACAGTGATTCTATAGGACAGAGTAGACCTGTCCCATAAGGTTTCTGAGGCTGTAATCTGTGTGTATGGAAGCAGACTGCTACAGCTGTCTGCCATGGAGTGGCTGAGGGATTCAAACTGCAGACCTTTTTTGGTTAGCAGTTGAGTGCTTAGCCACTTTGCTCCCAGGGGTCCTTTCCCAAGCAGACAGGGTAGTAAAGGCTTAAGATTTAAGACAAAGTCATGTGGGATAGGAGTTCTGGTGTGGCGCTGCAGGATAATGTGCTGGGGACTGCAAGGTCAGTTTGAGCTGCAAAGTCAGCAGTTGTAAACCCACCAGCCACTCCTTGGAAACCCTATACAGGGTTGCTATGAGTCAGAACCAATTCGAAGACACTTCACAGCAACAACAGTATGAGGGATCATTTAACACTGAAAGTGAAATCTATCAACTTATTTGTCTGAATTGGGAAAAGTTTACATTTATTGTGTTCAGCCATGATTTGAGAGCCTCTGAGTCAGCACCAGCCAACAAGCAGGCAGGAGATCAGGGTCTGAGCTAGGAGTAAGGGACAGAGGGCAGCAGCAAGTGTCTCCAAAGGAGCAGGAGATTGTGGGCAACTCTCTAATCAGCATCTAGAACACAGGGAAGAGCCAAATCCCGCTGGCAGGTGGCAATTAATTCTGTTCAGTTCAGTAAGCATTTATTTGGATGCCTACTCTGTGCCCACCCAGTATTAGGCCATGGTAGACACAAGAGACGTCTATGTCTATGGTGTCTTCTGCCGTTAAAGACTTCACAGTCTAATGTTGTTGTTGTTAAGTGCTGTCGAGTCAGTTCCTACTCATAGTAACCCTGTATAGGGTTTCCAAGGAGCAGCTGGTGGGTTTGAACTGGCAACCTATGGCCAGCAGTCCAGTGCTTATTCTACAGACACCACACCAGGACTTCACTCTAATACCAGCTACTACTAATAAAGGAGTATACAGTACAGGAAGCATTCCTGGGCAGTGCAAAGGGTTAATGCACTTGGTTAGCTGAGAGACTGGAGGTTTGAGTCTACCTAGAGGCACCTCAGAAGAAAGTCCTGGTGATCTACTTCTAAAACCATCAGCCACTAAAAACCCTATGGAGACACACATGGGTTATTGTGAGTCAGAATCTACTCCGTAGCAACTGTTTTTTTGACTTTGTGCTCTCACAAAGATTTACAGCCTTGGAAACCCTATCAGGGTGACTATGAGTCGGACTCGATAGCACCTAACAACAGTATTAAAGGCATTAAGGACTTTCACAGGCATAGTCCCATTTGCTGCTCAAACAACTACGGAGTATTTTTCATCCCGTTTGAACTGCAAGATTGGCGGTTCAAGCTCACCAGCTGCTCCTCAGAAATCTTATACAGGGTCGCTATGGGTCAGAACTGACTTGACAGCACTTAACAACAACATACAAGTAAAGGAACCCTGGTGGTACAGTGCTTAAATCTCTGGGCTGCTAACCAAAAAGTCAGGGGCTCAAACCCCCCAGCCACTCTGCAGAAGAAAGATGTGGCAGTCTGATTCTGTACAGATTTAGAGCCTTGGAATCCCTATGGGGAAGTTCTGCTGTGTCCTATAGGGTCACTATGAGTCAGACTTGGTTTTGGTTATATAAGTGAAGAACCTGAGGCTCAGGGAAGGGAAGTATTACCTATCTCCTTGAAAAGATCATGCAGCTTGGAACCACAAAAGTAAGAGTTAAAGCTGAACCTAGGTCTCCTCATTCTACAGTTTGCATCCTTTCCAATGGACATGACACCCCTTCAGTTATGCTAAAGAGTGAACAGTTGAGCTGTCTGAGCTGATGGAGGCCAGGGCCAGTGTCTGCCCCAGCCGTCTCTCCTCAGGACTTGGCACAGTTGACACTCAGAGACTGTCTCTTGGTAACTGCCCGAAGGCCTAAGAAGAATGTGTGCAGCAGTTCAGATCAGGGAGAACTGACGTGGCCAGGGAAGGCTTCTTGTCCAAGGTGGCACTTGGGCTTAAGCCTGGTTAGAATTTGGAGGAAGCAGGGAGACAAGAGGAACAGCGTAAGCAAAAAGACTCAGGGGCTGGGCAGTGCCTGATTTGTCTCTGTGGGGACGGTCATTCTGCTCTTTGTTCCTACAGACCCAAGGCTCCAGTCCGGTGACACTAGACCTCATCATTCCCTTCCTGAGGCCAGGGAGCTGTATCCTGGTAAGGAACTCTACCCTCCTACCCATAGTTCCCTAGCATATGCCTTCCACAGGTAGCACAAAGGGTAAATCCAGTCTGCAGAAATGTTTGGTTTGGCCAGTATAATGTCTGAAACTGGAATTAATTGCCCCCATTTAAATACTGAATCTGTTATGTTAACACACACACATATACACACACAAAATGAATTTCTGGCTTCTCTTTAAAAATTGGAAAACCGGAGGCTCCGTGCCCACGTTCTGACACGGTGTTGCCTTAGTCAGGGCCAGTGCTCTCCTGGGCCTCACTGTCTCCTGGCCAGATCTCTGCATTTGCTTTATGAGCTTGCAACCCCTGAGTTGTTTGGTGCCAGGATCTATACAATCCCTGCATTTGGTGGAGTTCCCTATCCCATGGAGACACCCCCTGCTCCACTCCCACCCCAGATTCAGCTTCCCCTGGGAGGGGCAGATACTCTGGCTCACAGTAGTGGGGGCGCTCTGTGCCCTCAGGTATGGCGGTCAGATGTCCAGTTTGCCTGGAAACACTTCTTATGTCCAGATGGTGAGTTCTTGGGAGGTGGAGGGGTTGGGGGCGCATTAAGAGGGAGGTTGGGCACTGCTCAGCCTCACCTTGCATGACTCAGTCTCCCATAGACGGCTGGGACTCTTGATCCTGGTACTGCTAGCCCTCACCACCCTATTGGGTATTGTTCTGGTCCTCGCCCACCGGCGCCCACTGTCTGGTAAGTTCACCGGGAGGTAACAAGGGGATTCAGACCTGCCCAGTTCCTAGCCTAGATGTGTACCCACCCTGTCCTTGCCCAGGTTGCCTTCTCAAAGAGCCATATCCTAGAGAGCAGGTGGGGCAAAGGCCCTTCAGTGCGGGGTGGGGGGTGGGGTAGGGAAGGTGCTCACCGTACCAGGCCTCTGGGTAAAGAGCTAGTGGGGCCCCAATCCAGCCTGCTCTCCTCCTGCCCTAGTTCAGGAAGGGGTTTCTTTAATTAGCCAAGGCTCTGTATAGGCGAGGGCTGTCTTCGGTACTCACCCCCAGTGCAGATGAGGGGCTGGGAACACCCTATAGTGTAGCCCCAGAACCAAGACGTGGTCCACTGGGTTGTCCCTAAACCCCAGGCCCTGCTCCTCTATTGCTGGCGCCCCAGGTTCCGGCAGAGGGCGGCCTGTGCTGCTGCTGCATGCGGCCGACTCCGAAGTGCAGCGACGCCTGGTGGGAGCGCTGGCTGAATTGCTGCGCGCCTCGCTGGGCGGAGGCCGCGACGTGATCGTGGACCTGTGGGAAGGGACGCGCGTGGCGCGCGTTGGCCCGCTACCTTGGCTGTGGGCGGCGCGGGCGCGCGTGGAGCGGGAGCAGGGCACAGTGCTGCTTCTATGGAGCAGTACCGGCCCCGCCTGCGGCCCCGACTCCTCCGTCGCGCCCCTGTGCGCCCTGCTCCGTGCTGCTCCGCGCCCGCTGCTGCTCCTCGCCTACTTCAGCCGTCTCTGCGCCAAGGGCGACATCCCCCCACCGCTGCGCGACCTGCCGCGCTACCGCTTGTTGCGCGACTTGCCGCGCCTGCTGCGGGCTCTGGATGCCGGGACTTCGACCCAAGCCACACGCTGTGGTCGCCTCGGGGCTCGGCCGTGCCTGCGGGGTCACCTGGCGTTGTGCCGTCGGCTCGAACGCGAGGCCGCCAAACCTGTGAATCGAGGCTGAGCAGAGCTCCACTATCAAGGCTGGATCGCCGTAGTGAGCCATCTACCCAGAATCTTGGGGCACCTCCTAAGGACCACCTTAGGACCGGAAAACCCTATTTCCTGCCATCCAACCAGGCACCTCACTCACTGTTCTGCCTCTCCCCCACCGCACTCTTCCCACCCCCATTGACCCTGCATGTTCCTTCTCACACTCGGACTCTACTTCTCAGGATTCCAGAGGAGAAAGCCCCTCTGACCCCAGTCCTAATGGGGGAAGGGAATCGCCCCACTTTCTCTCTCTCAAACTCCCAGACAGAGCCTTTTGCACAGAATACATGGGAGCAGGGATAGGGGAAGTTTAGGAGTTCTGAAGGGGGATCTCCCTACAGGAGGGCAGGAGAAAGTCCCTTGTTGGTCAAGGATCCTCCTTTCCCAGGTCTCACGCTGTAGTAGGGGCAGGGAGGGAGGAAGGACTCTGGACCCAGCGAAAGAGGCGTTGGGTGATCCAAATACAAAGGTGGGACCCTGGAGAACAGGAGCTGGAAAGATGAATAAAGGCAAAAGTAATTATGAAACAATGTGCTTCTTGGTGTGGCTGGAATCCGGGCCGGCCTGAGAGTTGGAATGCACCAGCTTGTGTGTGCAGAATCCTCTGTCCACACTCACATTCACTTCTCTCACACATTCGTAGGTCATGCCTCCCAAAATATGAAGAAAATCCTCTCTGTGATGCGTCAAAAAAAAAAAAAAAGAAGAAGAAAACAGGTTAAGAAAGGTTACACTGCCAGCTATTGCAGAAGTCTGCCTGTCCTCTAGGTCCTGGGACCACACTTGGGGGCCTAGGTCAGGCAATGGAGAAAGCTCCCATTCTGTTGCCTTTTGCCCCTCCTCTGGAGCCCTTAATTCACAAAGGGAAGGAACTGTGTGAGGGACTTGAAGGTCCCAGTAGGAGAGGCCCCCCAAATCCCAGGGTTTATGTCTAAGAGTTTGATAGGAAGTGGCCCTAGGGTTCTCCAGGTCCTCAGGGATTCCCAGGGTGAGTAAGGGCTCCACACTGCCTTCTTTAGAGGCCCCTCCCAGCCAGGTGTCAAGGGAGGAGGAGAGAGAAATAAGGAGGAGGTGAAGCCACAACCCTAGTCCCAGACTGCTGGCTCCCAGGCCTGGGGCTGGTGGGAGGGACTGGGAGGGGCGGGAACAGCCAACTGCCTGCCGGGAGCCAAAACGAAAGCATTGGGACTGGGACTGGGAGGAATCGGGAGTCGGGATATCCAGGAGAGGGAGTTTGCAAGCCATCTAGGTCTGGGAGCCCAGGGCTGGGGAGGGATTCCGGTGCCTGCTGCCCACCGGCACTGGGCTGAGTGGGGGCAGGGGTGAGGGGTCTGCCCCCCCAAGGGGGGGCAGGGCAGGGCCTCCAGCCTGGGAGCCTCAGCCCCTGGAAGATGCCTGTTCCCTGGTTTCTGCTGTCCTTGGCACTGGGCCGAAGTCCTGGGGTCCTCTCTCTGGAGAGGCTTAAGGGGTCTCAGAACACGCTTCACTGCTCTCCGGTGAGTCTGGGGCCTTAGGAGGTTTGGAGAAGGCACAGGGTTCGGTCTGTGGCTCATCATGGCCACAGCCTGGCTCCAGTCATTGCCGCCACCATCAGAACTGCCCTGGCTGGTCTGTCTGGTGCTGGGAGGGGAAGTGAAGAATGGGGAGGGGTCTGTATTTCGGGAGGGGCTTAGAGTTGAAGGCCCTAAAAAGAGGTGGACTGAAGTCTAAGGCAGGGAAAGGTGATTGGATTTGGGCACGTAAATTGTTACTCTTCTTTTCTTCCCTCCCAGGGCCTCTCCTGCCAGCTCTTGGGTGAGTCTCCCTACTTTTAGAGAGAATAGAACATCTTGGGTTAGCAGAAGGAAAAGGAACTGTGCCAAACCTATGACCCCATCACCCCCTTAGCCCACGAAAAAGCTCAAAGCTTCTTGGCGCTCTGGAGGTATCAGGTGCAGAAGTCTAATTTCTAAGCAACTGCAGCTCCCATCCCGCCTTCCTATACAGATGCTGACATGCTCTGTCTGCCTGAGACCATTGAGCCTGCCCCAGGTCCCTTACTGGTACCTGCACGTCTGCAGACAGAGTTGGTGCTGAGGTGCTACCAGGAGACTGACTGTAACCTCTGTGTGCGCGTTGCCGTCCACCTGGATGTGCATGGTGAGCAAGTCTGCGACACAAAGTGTCTGCGCCAGGCCCAAGGGCCGGGGGAGCTGTTGAGCAGCACTGGCCATTCTCAGTGTTCTTCTGGAGACCTTGGCCTAAGGATCCTCAGGCCTGCCTCTGCTTCCCAAAGTCATACTAGAGCAGGAGACCTGATGGGGCCTTGTTCTTGGCTCCTTCCAGGGGACTGGGAAGAGCCTGAAGATGAGGACAAGTTTGGAGGAGCAGCTGACCCAGAGTCTAGAAAGCTTAGTAATGGTGAGAAGACCTGGCAGGCCCGACTGCCTCTTACTAGGACCTGGCCCACGGTTGCTGAGCCTGACCGACCCCTTGCCCTGTTGCTCACAGCTTCTCTGCAGTCCCAGGTCGTGCTCTCCTTCCGGGCCTCCACTACTCCACTCTGCGTGTTGCTGAAGGTGCAAGTACCCGTCTCCCTCATGAGGTCTGGTCAGTCTGTGGTATGTGGAATGAGAACAACAAAAATAACCACCTTCTAAATAGGAAATCTAAAAAGCACTTTTTCATGCACTAGCGTGTTAAGTCCTAATTCTGACGTGTGACTATGGGTGAGCCTTTTCACTCTTTGTACCTCAGTTTTCCTGTCTGTTAAGTGGCCATAAGACTAGTCCTACCTTGCTCATATATGGCTGTTGGGGTTATTAAGTGGAGTGTCACATATAAAACACCTGGTATAATGTTGAAGGGCTGTCACTGGTGAATTTAATTTTTTCTCTCATAATCCTCAAATTTGCCCCATTATTACCCCCATTTTCCAGATAAAGAAACTGAGGCTTACAGAGGGGAGATCTGTGGGCTGAGCCTACTTCTCTGGATTCATGAACTAGTGCTCTGCCCACCACACAATGTATGCACCATGTATGTACTGTGTGTTGTGGCTTCTCCCTGCCTCAAGAGGCCAAACATGATTGGAAAATCTGTTTCCACTGAGGCCAAATCGCTCAAACCCTTTGACCTCCTCTCCTGCCCCAATCAATATCTGTTTATCTGGAAAACTGGAAAATGGGAGAACACTGGCCTGGCCCACCTCACTTGTGAGATCCACTGAGGCACTGGATGTGAGAGCAAGCTCTGTAGAGAGGGATGTCCCATAGTGCATGCAGTGGGGTGTCTGTCACATTAGCTGTGGCCAGGTGATCCAGGGCAGCAGGGGTGAGAACAGGGGCTCAAATAGTCAGACCCCTTATCCCCGACCACCCTACCAAAGAGTGTTTGGACTAGAATTGGAGGTCATGAAGGGAACTTTCATGGCAGACTTTCTGGCTACATAGTATAATATATACGTGTGTGGGCAGATGGGTTCATGCCAAGGTGCCACAGTCTTTGGCCTTCTCCTCACAGGGCTCTGTATTATTTGACTGTTTTGAGACTGTCCTGTGGGGTGAGGTGCAAATCTGGTCTTACACTCAGCCCCAATACCAGAAACAACTCAACTACACACAGAAGCTGCCAGGTAAGTGACCCCAGAGCCTCCGGGTCCTGAGTCCTGGCTTCCCTAAACTTTCTCCCCTCTGGTCACTCCCATCTGCTTTCACCTTCCTCCTGGTCCCATCCACTCTTAGACAGGGGTCTGAACTCACATGCTTCCCAGAGTCACTTCTTCCTGCCGTCTCTCCCTAGGTAACAGGACTTTCTAACCCTGACGAAGCAATTCTTGGCACTGGGCAGGTGTAGGTGGTGTTTAAGGGACAGGAAGCCCTTCCCAGTGCCCTCCATCGGTTGGATCTTGCCCCTTTTCCTTGGCCCCCAACCCCACTGGAGGATTTTCTGTGATCTCTCTCCAGATTGCAGGGGGCTTGAAGTCCAGGACAGCATCCAGAACCGCTGGGGTAGGAACTAGGGCTTAAGGGGTTATGGGAGGAAGGTCAGGTTATGGAGTGTCAGACACCCTTGGAATTGGCTTCAGATCTGGGTTACCTCATCCCAGGAGCTGGTAGAGCACATTCATTCATTCATTAGACATGAACTATACAACTCTTATCTATGGGAATCTAAAGATGAATCTAAAGATGAATCTCTCACTCATTATGACATCTTTTTTAGTAATAGAACAATGGACTCAAGCCTAGCAACAATTGTTAGGATGGCTCCGGACTGGCCAGTGTTTCTTTCTTTGCGTAGGGTCACTAGGAGTAGGACACCTTAAAACAATAGGGACATTAATGTGCTTGGCTGCTAACTGAAAAGTTGGAAGTTCAGGTCTACGCGGGGACACCTCAGAAGAAAGACCCGACAATTGAAGTATTAGCCATTGGAACAGTTCTACTGTGACACACATGGGTTGCCATATTGAAATTGACTTGATAGCAGGTGGGTTATTTTAGGAACGTCTAGGAGTCCTGGAGTGGTGAAGTTGGATAAGCATTGGAATGCAAGGTTGGTTTGAATTACAAGGTTGGTGGTTCAAATCCACCAGCCACTCCTCAGAAACCCTGTACAGGGTAGGTATGAGTCAGAACCATCTCAATGGCACTTAACAACAACAACAACAATAGAGACTCAAAGGAGTCCTGGTGTGGAACTGTGATAAGCACTGGACTGCTAACCACTAGGTTGGTGGTTCAAACTCATCAGCTGCTCCTCTACTGAGTCACTATGAATAGGAACCAGTTCGATGACACTTCATAACAGTAGTAGAAACCCAAAGCATTTTCAGCATTTTTACTATGCCCCCCTACATAAAAATAAAAATAATACTAGACATAAGTCAAGGTTTTGATCACCTTTCCTAGGATCATAATTTGGATTTTGGTTTTGGTCATTTTTGTGTTTTGTTTTTGTTTTTCCTTTTTCATTGTTCTATAACATGCACACAGTAAATTGGGTAAAGTGCACTCATTGAAATGTACAATTTGATTAATTTTTGTGTATGTAGTGTTGTTGTTGTTGTTAAGTTCCATTGAATAGGTTCTGACTCACAGTGTTTCCAAGGAGTGGCTGGTGGATTTCAACTGCCAACCTTGTTATTATTAGCAGTCAGTGTTATCCCACAGTGCCACACTGGGATTCCTGCAGATATATGTTGTTGTTGTTGTTAAGTGCCGTCGAGTCGGTTTTGACCCATAGTGACCCTGTATAGGGTTTCTAAGGAGCAGCTGGTGAGCTTGAACCGCCAACCTGCATATGTATACACTTGTGTAATTACCGTCCAGGTCAAGACACAAATGCTATGATGTTTTTTAAACTACCAGTTATTTGAGTTTCATTTTTTTTTTTGGTTCCTTAAACTTAACTGGATTTGCCTCCCTGGTAATCCATTGAAGAAGGCACCAGAGCTTTGAGGATACAGATACATATCATGTACTTCATTTCTTCATTTCTTCAGTAGAAATGAAGGCAACATATATTTTCTGAGTAGTTGCTATGTGTGAGACCTGGCCCTAGGCACTATAGATAAACGAGTCATCAAAACTGACAAAAATCCCTGGCCCTCGAGGAGTTGACATGCTATTGGGAAGTCCAGAGAGAAGTGAGAGAGAATATGCTAAACACATGGAGATGTCAAATAGACTATCCAGTGGATGGAGAAAATGTCCCAGAGGCGGAGAAAGTGGTTGGGAATTGCAGTGGGTCAGAGATGGCCTCACTATAGTGAACAGGAGCTCCCTGGGTATCTGAGAGAAGGATCTACGCAGAGGGCAAAGCCAGTGGAAAGGGCCTTAGGCAGGAGTGTCTGCTGTGTTTAAGTAATAGTAAAGGGGTCAGTGTGTCTGCAGCAGAGTATTTAAAGCCAGTACCGTACCAGCAGATGAAGTTAGTGAAGTCATTTCCACCAGACTGGGTAGGGCCTTGTGAATGATTATAAGGCTCCCTCCCAGCTTTTACTGGGAGTATATGGGGAGCCACTAGAGGCTTCTGGGCAGTGGAGGGGGTTCCTTCTGCTACAGAGAGGAGACAACACTTGTCCCAAGATCATATTCTGGGGTCAGCTGCTAGAGACAAAGTCTGGTCTGAGATGGGCAGGGTCACAGGTTCTGTCCTCCAAGAGTTATTCAGTCTAAGGGGTTTGGAGGAAACACCAAAGGGTCAGTGGGCAGGCATGGCCTAGGCTTTGGTGTGCACAAATGGTGAAGGAGGTCTCTGTCTCTGTCTCCCCAGCAGCCCTCCCCTGGCTCAACTTGTCTGCAGATGGCGAAGATGTGCGCCTGGTGCTGGATGTCTCTGAGGAGCAGCGCTTCAGTGTCCTCCTGTACAGGGAACAGGATAAGGGTTCCACCACATCCAAGTGGCAAGAAAACATTGTGAGCTCACTCCTACTCTCAAATCCATTCCTGACCTAGACCAATGCTAAGGGGACCTTTGAAGAGGGCACAGAGACCCAGGCCCAAAGCAAGGGAATTCTGGTGGGAGGATTTCAGATACTAGGTGACAAGCAGTAGGAAATCACCACTCGGTTGCCTGAGGTCCTCAGTTTTGGCCTCCAGTCTTCCTTAACTTAACTTCCCCCCATCTGCTTGTCCTGCAGACTGGGCTGCAGAACTTTACTTTGAACAACACAGTCCTGGTTCCCTGTCTCTGTATTCAGGTAGGATCCAAGCCCAATTGGACCCCAGGGGAAGGGGAATTGGTAAGGGTGGTAGCCCCTACCTTCCTGGTCTTAACATTCTCCATACTCCTCTTTGAGGTAGAAACCCTGGCCTCCTGAGCTGCCTGGCCCTGCTTGACCCCTGCTCTCCCTCACCTCCTGCCTGTTACAGTCCAGAATGTTCTTCCTAACCTTCCATCCACAGGACTCTTACATACAAACTTTGCAGCCCCACTCAGATGTCATCTCCCCCAATCCCTTCTTTGTTTTCCCATTGAAGGGAGAGCACATGCTATGGACTGAGACTGGTTTGAGCCCTGATTCTTCCCACTTCCTAGTCACTTCACCTCTCTGGACCTGTCTTCTATCTGGAAAATGGAAACAATAATAATACAGCTTGTTACAAGGAAGTGTACCCCCTCTGGGCTTAAATATGTTGGCTCTTTCCTCTCTCTTCAATCAACTGCACATTTAATCGGTCAACAGATCCTATCCATTTGACCTCTGACATTAGTATCTCTCATTTTGTTCTGCCATCTAAGGCCAGTTTGGGACTCTACCATTCCCTCCTCTAGACTATTTCAATAACCTCTGGCCCCAACTCCCTTCCTGGTTCCGTATTCTGCTCTCAGTTGAACTTTTTCCATTACACCTTCCCCAGGATTCTCTTTTGATTCAATTTTGTTACTTCCAAATAGAGATGTGTACTATACTACAACTACCTTACCTCCTCTCCAAACAACCAAATCCTCCCAGCTCAAATGCTGCCTATCTCCTAAAGCTCTCCCCCAGCTGACTGCTCTCCCCTTGTACTTATTTTATCTTACCTTGTCCATGTGTTGCTTGATTTCTTATCTGGGCACTTGCCTCATTTCTACTTGCACACATAGATGCTCAATGAATATTTCTGGGGTGAATTTGAGTTATTAATTTATATCTATGATTTATCCTTGCTAGAAATCTTGCTGGCACAGTGGGTTAAGTGTTGGTCTGTTAACCAAAAGGTCATCAATTGAAATCCACCAGCCGTTCCTCAGGAGAAAAATGAGGCTGTCTGCTTCTGCAAAGATTTACAGCCTCAGAAGCTGTAAATGGAGCAAGTTCCACTGTTCTTATAGGGTTGCTACAAGTTGTAACCCATTCAGTGGCAGTGGGTTTTATCCTTTCTACAACTGTGAATTCTTTCCTTGAAAGCAAAGATGTCCTATCGAATTCAAATTTAGTCATTTCCCCCAGAGCCTGGCACAGTACGTGGCACACTGTGTAATTAAGTGTTTGTTGAATGAGTAAATGAATGACTCTCTACTAGCTAGCCACAGTGATAGGACATTTAGAAGATGCTCATGAAATGTTTGCTGTGATTTAAATGTCGTCATTGCCCAGCACATTGGACCTATCACAGAGTAAGAGCTCTCTTTCTTCAAGGCTTGATGAATAAATTAATATATTATCACTAGTGCTTAGCATAGGAACTGCTCTGGTAGCGTAGTGGTTACAAGTCAGGCTGCTAATTTCATGGTCAGCAGTTCAAAGCTAGCAGCAGTTTCTCAGGAGAAAGATGAGGCTTTCTGCTCCTGTAAAGATTTCCAGCCTCAGAAACCCCATACAAGGTCACTATGAGTCAGAACTGACTCCACAGCACATCACCAACAACAACAACCACTTAGCATAGGCGATAGCCTTAACAACAACTCCCTGCCATGGACTAAATTCAGACTCATAGTGACCCTTTATAGTTTCTGAAGCTGGAAATCTTTATGGAAGCAGACACTCTTATCTGTCTCCTGAAGAGTGGCCAGTAGTTTTGAACATCTGACCTTGCAGTTAGCAGACCAGTGCTTATCTTACAACGCCACGAGGACTCATAAAAAGTCTATTGAAAGAATAAATTACTTTGTCTTCAGCATCTAGCACTGTACTTGACCTAGTAGATATTCGAAAATTGTGGAGTGTGTTTTTGAATGTCCCTGGTGCCTAGCATAATACTAAGACACATAGTTGTTGTTGTTAAGTGTCATCTAGTCAGTTCCAACTCATAGCAACCCAGTATAGGGTTTTAAGGAGTGGCTGATGGGTTTGAACCGCTGCTGGTCTTGTGTTTAGCAGTCTAGAGCTTATCATACAGTGCCACACCAGAACCCCAAGGTACACAGTAGGTAATACAAACTAAAAGTGTATTGAATGAAGATTTTACCAGTGCCTGGCATAGTGTCTGCGGGAAAGATTGATGTGTGCATGTCTTGTTATGTGCCGTGGAGTCTGTTCCGACTCATAGTGACCCTGTACAGGGTTTCTGAGGCTGTAAATATTCAAGGGAGAGGAGAGCCTCACCTTTCCCCCACAGAGCAGCTGGTAGTTTCAAACTGCTGACCCTGCGGTTCGCAACCCGATTCCTAACCACTACGCTACCAGAGCTCTGTGCTCATGTCCAAGGCCTTCAAAAAACTAGAGTTCCTAAAGTATTGGCTGAATGAATGTGTCCCCAGTGTGTGGCAGAGGACCTGAAACGGGGTGATGCTCATGGAGGGTTGACTGGGTTGAAGTGGCTTAAGGGGAACTCTGTTTCCTTTTCAGGTGTGGCCCCTGGAGCCCGATTCCGTCCGGACGGAATTCTGCCCCTTCCGGAACAGTGAGCAAACGCGGACCGGGGCTGGGGCCGGGGTGGGCATAGTGCGGGCAACGGATGCTCCTCGCAGTAACCCTGGCCCTCTCCTCGCAGGCCCCAGCGCACACCGGAACCTGTGGCTTGCCGCCCGGCTGCAACTACAATCCTCTCTGTGCTGGTTGCTGGATGTGCCATGCTCACTGCATGCTGAGGCGGCGCTGTGCTGGCGGACGCCTGGTGGGGGCCCCTGCCAGTCACTGGTTCCCCCGTTGTCCTGGAAAAACGTCACTGTGAACGTAAGTGAGGTGCAATGTAAGCGGCAAAAAAGCATAGGGATCCCCCTTCATAGCCTCATCCACTCCTCCCTCTTTCCGCAGAAAGGTAACACGTTCTCTTTGCTGAAGGGCCACCCCAACCTCTGTGTTCAGGTGAGAAGTATGCTCCAGAGCACTTGGACAACAACCCCCCCACCCCCGGAGGCCCCTAGAACAAAGTGGTAAAGTGGTTTCTGTCTTGGCGAGTTCCACCGTTTATTTTAACAATGTGGTGGGGACACCTGGACCTTACATGATAATAGCAATTGTTTCATAAAGTGGTGTGAGGATTAAGTAAAAGGAAGGCTTTGCCTTTGGGATTGGCACAGACTAAATGCTCAGCAGATGCTAGCTGCTTTTATTTTTATAACATTATAGTAATAGAATAAGGAGCTCCAGTAGCGTAGTGGTTACGAATCGGGCTGCTAACCTAAAGGCTGGCAGTTCAAAACTACCAGCTGTTCCGCAGGAGAAAGTTGAGGCTTTCTGCTCCTGTAAAAATTTACAGCCTCGGAAACCTTGTACAGGGTCGCTGTGAGTCGGAACCAACTCCACAGCACATAACAATATAGTAATAGAATGGTTTACCATACAATTTAAAAGAATGATTATAAAGATATTCCTTTATTCAGTAAATACATATCATTTACTATGTGCTAGGTGACCACCACTCATCTGTCAGTTTGTCGTACTGTGGTGGCTTGTGAGTTGCTGTGACTCTGGAAGCTATGCCACTGGTATTTTAAATACCAGCAGAGTCACCCATGGTGGACAGGTTTCAGATGAGCTTCCAGATGAAGACAGACTAGGAAGAAGGAGTGACAAACTACTTCTGAATATTTAGTCACTGAAAACCTTATGAATAGCAGAGAAACACTGTCAGATATAATACCAGAAAATGAGTCCCTCAGGTTGGAAGGCACTCAAGATGCGAGTGGGGAAGAGCTGCCTCCTCAAAGTATGGGCTCAAGTGTGTCCACAGTAGTGAGATTGGCCCAGGATTGGGCAATGTTTCATTCTGCTGTGCATAAGGTCACTATGAGTCAGTACCAACTCGCTGGCACCTAACAACAACAACAACAAGGTACTACCAGGAGTCCTGGTGTGGCACTGTAGGCTAATCACTGAACTGCTAAACCACCAGGTCAACGGTTCAAACCCACCAGTCAGCTGCTCCTTGGAAACCCTAGAGAGGGTTGCCATGAGTCAGAACCAACTTGGTGGCACTTAACAACAACAAGGCCCTACTATGTTTTAGGGACTGGGGATAGATATATCAGTAAACAATATCAGTTACTGTCCCCATCCTTAAGATGCTCGTGGTCCAATAGAGAAAGGCTGACAATATGCTTAACAAATAGATGAATTATACAGTCTGTTGTGTAAGTGAATTATAACAGTATGATGCATAAAACTGTATATAAAGCCTGTGGGGAAAGGGGCAGAAGGATAAGAAAGGATTTGGGTTGCAGTTTTCAATGGGGTGGTCAGGTGAGATCTCACTGAGAAGCTAGTGAAGTGAAACGCGAACCGAACTTGGGCTTTGCAGGAGTTTTAGGAAGAGAAAGCTCTCTTCTAACACAGATGAGTTCATGAAGCTCAGCCAGCCTTGACCCCAGGTCTTCCAAGGTCATGTCCAGCGCACAGAACCCCTAAACCCAATAGGCCTCCTCTTGCCTTCTCTTCTGGCCTTGGCTCTTGATTATCCCGATGCCCCTAACCCTATCCCTCTTTGGAGCAGGTGAGCAGCTGGGAGAAGCTCCAGCTGGAAGAGTGCTTATGGGCTGGTGAGTGGGGCTTGGGGAGGCTGAGACAAACCACTGCATTAGGGTTTACCCCTAAGTGCCAGGTCCTGGGTGTGAGGTCAAAGCATGGGGGAGATATATATGTGGCAGCCCCCTGGCAAGTCTGAGTTTCACTCAGACCGTCTCTCACCTTTTCAGACTCCCTGGGGCCCCTCAGAGATGACATGCTGCTGGTGGAGAAACAAGACTCCCAGGACAACAGATCCTTTTGTGCCTTGGAACCTAGTGGCTGTACTCCACTTCCCAGCAAGACCTCAACGGTGAGGGCTGGGGAACCCTCTTCTACAGACCCCCAGCTCCCATCTCAATCCTGGCCTCAGATCTTCACGCCACCCAATTTCCCCCTGCTGGCCTCTGGGAAGGTGGGGGTGACTTCAGATCTGGACCCTGCCCTCAGTGTCAACTGGAACCTGGTGGTCTCCTCAAAGTGTCAACCCCAGGTGACAGTCTCCTCCTTTGGCTTGGCAGAGAGCAGCTCGTTTTGGAGAGCAGTTACTAAGAGACCTGCAGTCGGGTCAATGTGAGCAGGTGAGCTAAAAGCCCTCTCCTGGCCTTGCTCTGCACCTAGCAGAGCAGAGGGCGCCAGGGAAACGCACTTTTCTTAAGCCTCCCAACTGTCCTACTCATCTACCCACCATCTTTGTGCTTATTTTGTGTCTAGCCCTGGGGTGGTGGGGTGGTGGCAGGGAGGGAAAGGCATACTTAGCTCAGCCCTTGTCCTCCAGGGGCTCACTGCTGGCAAGTGTTGTATGCTGCCCAGTCAGTTCTCATAGCAACCGTGTGTGACAGAGTGGAACTGCCACAGACGATTTTCTAGGCTGTCATGTTCACAAAGTCGATGGCTAGGACTTTCTTCCACGGAGCCGCTGGGTGGGTTCAAAGTGTCAGCTTTTCAGTTGTGCCACTGAGGCTCCTTCACACCCACACATGCTAGGTGGTGGTTTCCAGAGAAAGCTTCAAGGAAGGGTGGGCCAGATTTGACTTGGAAGAAGTAACATTCCAGGCAGTAAGTAAATCCTACACAAGGGTAGAGCACATACCTGCCGTGTGTGAGGAAAACAGCTTAGTTAAGGCTGGGAACTAGGAGAGCAGGCTCGCCAGTATTTGGTGGGTGTTAAGCCCCGAGCTGAGGGGTCTATACTTGCTCTGTGTCTTACAGCTATGGGACGACGGCCTAGAAGGGCTATGGGTCTGCCCCATGGACAAGTGTGAGTATCAGAAGAGCTCCCTTCCTGTCTAGTAGGAGTATGAACCTTGGCAGGTACCACTTCTCGGGGAAGCACATGCAATGACCTTGTCCTTCCCTGACTTGGGATAAACCAGAGGGACATTCTTCCTTCACTCAAAAAACATTCATGAGAGCTTGCAGGGATCTGAGGATCATCAAAAAGATAGAATTTCTGTCCTCACCCCAATCCTGAAAGGCTTGAGAACAATTAGCCAGCCCATCACTTAGTGAAGAATGAGTTCCTGAAGCATTTTGGAGCACAAGTACCCAGTGCTGTGAATGTCGATAGTGGAAACTGGTCTATGGATGGGGAGAGTTCAGGGAAAGGTCTGGGCTGAACTCTGCAGCAGGCTGAGCTGAGTGAAGAGAGTGGAGATTTATTTTTGTTAAGTCTTAGGGAGTGTTTTTTTGAGGAACTCCAAGGTGGTCAGCGTGACTGGAGGCCCTTGCCATGAGATGAGCATTCCGGACCTTGGAGACCAGTGCAGGGGATTTGAACTGTGTGTTAAGTACAGCAGGAGCTTGCCCAAAGCCTTTGATAAGGAAATGGCTACAACCAGATTCATAAAGAGCTCTGGGGCTGCCATGTGTATTTGAACTGGATTGAGGCAACATACACAGTGCTGTGTTGGGACACCAGTTGGAGGCCTTTACAGGACAGCAAGGTCAAGGGCCTGGCCTGTCTAGGCTTTGGGGACAGTTGAAATAATATCAGCTGACATTTGAGCACTTACTATATCAGGTACTGTATTAAGTGTTTATGTGTATTAATACTAGGTTTAGACTCCACAACCCTATGAAGTTGTTGTCAATTCCGACCCATAGCAACCCTGTATAGGGTTTCCAAGGAGCAGCTGGTGAGCTTGAATCACCGACCATTAAGTTCAAAAGACTTTATAATCTGATGCATTAGCCCACAGCACCACACCAGGAAGTTGGTTCTGTTATATCCTAATGTTATAGAACTGAGGTACCAGTGACGTCATTCTCCAAGGTCACCCAAGTAGATGCTTTTGCATTTGTTCATCTCCTGGCTGTGCCCATTCTGTGAGGCAGACTTTGGATAAGACCTTTCATTCCTCTGAGTCTCAGATGTTCTCTGGGGTTTAAGTGTGAGTCTCTAACTAGCTTGACTTCTCCTTTGGGTCTACTAGACGTCCACAAGCGCTGGGCCCTGCTGTGGTTGGCCTGCCTACTCTCTGCTGCAGTTGTGTTTCTCCTTTTCCTTTTCAAAAAGGACCGAGTGAAAGGTGAGCGCACCTCCAGTCCCCCTAGCAAGACCAGAGGGGGCTTGGGGATTGCCGCGCTCACACGCTGCCTCTGCCCCTCTCCCCTAACCTAGTGGTTAGGGCTTTGGAAGGAGGACATCCACTGTGGGGGTGAGTGTGAGCAAGCACCAGACATGGGCAGCCTCACCGCCTCCCTTCCCCTGTGTTCTTTGGGACAGTGGCTGCCAGGGGGCGTCGGGCTCTGCTCCTCTACTCCGCGGACGACGAAGCCTTCGAGCGCCTAGTAGGCGTCCTAGCATCTGCGCTGGGCCAGTTGCCGCTGCGCGTGGCCGTGGACCTGTGGAACCGACGAGAGCTGAGCGCGCAGGGCCCCCTGGCTTGGTTCCACGCACAGCGGCGCAAGGCCCTGCAGGAGGGTGGTGTGGTGGTCCTGCTCTTCTCACCCGGGGCCGTGGCGCTGTGCCGAGAGTGGCTGCAGGACCAGGCGTCCACAGCCGGGTCGCACGCCCCACACGATGCCTTCGCTGCCTCGCTCAGCTGCGTGCTGCCAGACTTCTTGCAGGGCCGGGCGCCCGGCCACTACGTCGGGGTCTGCTTCGACAAGCTGCTCCACCCAGACGCAGTGCCCGCCCTTTTCCGCACCGTGCCTGTTTTCTTGCTGCCCACCCAGCTGCGCGACTTCGTAGAGGCCCTGCTGGGGCCTGGCGCCCCGCGGCTCGGGCGGCTCAGGGAGACGGAGGAACACGTGTCCCAGGCTCTTCAGTCTGCCTTGGACAGCTGCTTTCCCGCTTGGGGGTCCCGGGACCCGGATAGAGGATGGATCGTCCAGGGGCGGGGGACAGGACTTGAATAAAGACAAACGCTGGTTTTCTGTTCGTGACTCCCACTTGCGTCTCAGCGTCTGTGTGACCAGAACGCGATGCAGTGTCCGCTTCCTCGCTGCCCTTTAAAGGTCTGGACAGGTGCTGTCCAGTGCTACCTCTGGTTGGCTAGGGTGGAATGACGCAATGTCACATGGCCAACCGCTACTGGCTGCAGCGTCGGCTCCGCCCCTCGAACTGCGGCGCTGGAGGTGGTTGTACGTTTTACGCAGGCGGCGGCGTTGAAGAGGCAGAAGCGGTCGGCGTCTGCGGGTTGGGGTGTTTTCCCTCTCCGTGGTCTGCGCGGGTCTGGACCCTACCCTGCCAACCCGTGTTCTGTGCCCTTACCTCCTGCGAGACCCCGAACCTGATCCCTTTCCCCCATAACCTGATCCGGGCTCCACCCCGCTGCACCCAGTTCCCGACTCCTCCCGCAAGACCGCCTATCCGGCCTCCTCCCCTAATACTCGGAATCTGCCCCTTCTCCCAGGCACTGTTAATCCAGCCTCTAACAGCCTGTATGCAGACCCTAAAGCTGTGCGCTGACTTCTTGATCCTGAATGCTTAGGACGCCTCCCCCAGGGCAACGTAGACAACTTCTTTCCCGCTGGACATTGTAGATCTTTCCCCGACTCCCGGGGGCCTTACCTCAATCTCGCCCCTTTTATTAACGCATATCTGGTCTCCCCGTCCCACAGCACCTTAGAACTGACCCTTTTCTTTCTCAGCTGGGGCCTGGCCCTGCCAGTGAGCCCTCCCTACACCCTCCATCCACAGGGAAAGATGGCTCCACGGTCCCTGAGGGGCCTGTTCCCAGCGCTTCTCGGGGGTCTGAGTCTCTTCCTCAGCCTCCCAGGACCCAGCAGGCCCCAACCATCTCCGTCTCCCCAGGCTTCTCCCCCGCCTGAGCCCCATCCTTGTCAGACCTGCCGGGGGCTAGTCAACAGTTTCAACAAGGTGGGTGCCTCATGGGAGGGGGATTCGGCTTCTACAACACAGCAGTTTAGAGTGGGGCGGGGCGGAGATATTTGGGATGCAAATGTGCATGGATTCAAGGCCCAGCTTGGTGATTACTAGCTGTGGAGCCTTGGGCAGGTTGCCCCTCTGTGCCTTTGTGTCTGGACAGTAAAATAGTGATAATAGCAAGTGTGAAGGTCTGCAATGTGCCCACGTTGGACTGAGCAATTTTCTTTGTCTTCAGGGCCTGGAGAGAACTATCCGGGACAACTTTGGAGGTGGAAACACTGCGTGGGAGGAAGAGAAGTTGTCCAAATACAAAGACAGGTGAGGGGCTGGTGGGGGTGTGAAGTGGGGAGAAGAGTTGTATATCCCACTTCCCCATTTCTACTCTATTGGCTATGGAGCTTTGGGAGCAGTTCACTTATTCAAAACTTACTGAACATCTGGAGTTGTTGTTAAGTGCCATGGAGTCGGTTCAGACCCATAGAGACCCTGTACAGGGTTTCCAAGGAGAGGCTGGTGAGTTTGAACTGCTGACCTTATGGCTCAAACCTACTTTACAGTCTAGCGCATTAACCCACTGTGCCACACCAGGACTCTGAACATCTGGAGTAAAGCCCCGTAAACCAAGTCCCATCTTCATGAAGTTTACAACAGTCAAGTAGAAGTGTAAACCGACAATGTTAATACCAGTTGAAGAACAGTCAAGCAGGGTAAGGACTGTGGTTAGGTGTGGTGTTTTGGCCTCTCCAGAATGGTTTGACATTTGAATCGAGGCCTGATGTGAAGAAGACAGTTGTGTGATAGTCAGGGAAGAGGTTCCATGCCAGGGTAGGACTGAGAATAGTGTATCAATGGAATGAACAAGAAGGAGAGTAGGAGAAGATGAGGCAGAGGCCCGGGGTCTGGACAAACTGGCCTTGAAGGGTGTGGAAAAGAGTGCAGATTTTGTCCTGAGTATACTAGGAAGCCACCGGAGGATTTGAGCAGGGAATGATGTGGTTTTATTTATAGCTTTAGCAGGGCACTCACAATGCTATGTGGTGAACAAACTGTAGAGGCCAGGGTGGAGGAAGCAGACCAGTTGTCTGGCCATTGCATTGTTGAGGCATAAAGTGTGGTTGCTAGTGGTGGAAAGAGTGAGAAGGCATCAAATTCTGGGTTTATTTTGCAAGTAGGGCCAGTAAGACATGATGATTGATTTCCTATGGGATATGAAAGAGAAAGGACACCTGGTGTGGTGCTGTGGGATCCGCATTGGACTGAGAACCGCAAGGCTAGCAGTTCAAACCCACCAGCTGCTTCTCAGAAACCCTATATGCGGTCGCTATGAGTTGGAATTGACTCGATAGCACTTAACAACAACAACAACAAGAGAGAATAAAACATGAGGGAATAAAACCACCTACTACGCCTTGAACCTGAACAACTGGGTGAAGAGGAGCTATTTCCTGAGTTGTTTAAGTCTGGGGAAGACAGTCGCGGTGAGAGGAGTGTCGGGACTTCCCTCTCAGCCTGCTGGGTTGCGATGTCTATTAGGCATCCAAGTGGAGTTAGATGTAGGGATCTGGAGTTTGAGAAAAAAGTAGGAACTGGAGGCAAAGAGTTGGGAGTCGTCAGTATGTGCTACTGTGTGCTGTCAGGTTGTTTCCGGTTCATAGTGACCCTGTATAGTGTTTCTGAGGAGCAGCTAATGGGTTTGAACCACCGACCCTGCACTTTAGCTATCCAGTGCTTATCCTATAGCGTCACACCAGGTCAGCATATTGCTGTTGTTAAATGCCGTGGAGTTGGTTCCTACTCATAGCAACCCTGTATAGGGTTGCCAAGGAGCAACTGGTGTGTGTGAACCACTGACCTCTTGGTTAGCAGTGCCATACTAGGACTCCAGGGCAGCATACGTTAAGTGCCATGGCACCTGACTCATAGCTACTACTATGGGGTTTCCAAAGAGTGGCTGGTGAGTTTGAGCCACCCACCGTGCACTTTAAACCGACTTTGTGGTCCAGTGCTTTTCTATAGCACCACACCAGGACTCCAGGCCAGCATATAGTCAGTATTTAAAGTTATGGGGTAGGGTTGAGATTATGTAGAGAGAGTGCCGAGAAGAGGCCTGAGTCCTAAGCCTTCCAAATTTTAGAGGTTGAGAAGGAGTTAACAAAGAGTTGCAGTTTCACAGACCTGGTTGCTGGTTTGAGTCTACTAGCTTTCGGACCTAGGGCAGGTCATTAAACTTCTGAGAGCCTCAGTTTCTTCACATGTAAAATGGGGCTGTTAGTATTGACTTTGTCTCATAGGATTGAACTGGTGGTGGTGGTTGTGTGCCATGGAGTCAGTTCCGACTCATAGTGACCCAGCATAGGGTTTCCAAGGCTGTAAATCTTTACGGGAGCGGAAAGCTTCATCTTTTTCTCATGAAACTGCTGGTAGTTTCGAACTGCTGACTGTGAGGTTAGCATCGTAACCACTATGCTACCAGAGCTCCTTTTGAACTGGTAAGATAAGGATTAAACTGTGACATTCAATAAAACTCATTCAGTAAAAGAGTCTGTTATCCTTTAGCATTCATCATTTTCCTTTCCCTTTGCTGTTGTTGTTAAGTGCCACTGAGTTGGTTCTGACTCATAGCAGTCCTGTATAGGGTTTCCAAAGAGTAGCTGGTGAGTTTGAACCACCAACTTTTCCAGTTCAAACAACCTTTCGGTCCAGTGCTTATCCTGCAGCGCCACACCAAGACTCCTTAATGAGCCTGGGTGTCCTCATTTGGGAATGAGGGGACCCGTCAGGATAATCCTAAGAGAACCTCCAGCTCTGTAACTGTAAATAGTTTTTGTGTGTTTTAATCACCTCCCTGGTATATGCCAAACTCTAAAATACAGGATACAATAGATAATGTGAAAACATATATATATATTTAAATTGTGGTAAAATAGGCAGAACAGAAAACGTATCATTTGTCACATTGAATCTATTCACAATGGTATTCATCCATCCATCACCACTAGCTCATTTCAGAATCTTTCCAGCACTATAGGATAGAACCTCAAGGTCGGTGGTTCAGACTCACCGGCTGCTCCTCAGAAACCCTATACAGGGTCGCTATGGGTCAGAACTGACTCGACGGCACTTAACAACAACAACATACCCCTTAAACAGTCATTCCCAATTTCCTCGGTCTCTCAGCCCCTGATAACCTTGAATCTGCTTCCTGTCCCTATGGATTTGCCACCTCTGGTATTTCATATAAATGGAACCATACAATTGGTATCCTTTTGTGTCTGCCTTCTTTCACTCAACTTAGTATTTTTAAAATTCATCCATATGGTAGCATGTACCAGAATTTCATTCCTTCTTATAACTGAAGGCATCATGTTTTGTTTACTCATTCATCCATTACTGGACAGTTGAATTATTTGAACCTTTTGTCTGTTATGAAGAGTGCTGCTGTGAACATTCATGTTTAAGTTTTTATTTGAGCACCTGTTTTTAATTCTTTGGGGCATATTCCCAGGAGTGGAATTGCTGGGTCATTGGTTAACTCCACGCTTACCTTTTTGAGGAACAGCCAAAGTATTTTCTACAGCAGATGCACCATTTTACATTCCCACCCACAGTGCACAAAGGCTCCAAAGTCTCCACATGCTCAGCAGCATTTGTGACATATGTTTTTAATCATATCTACTCAGCAAGGGTATTATAATCCATTATACATGTGTGGGGAACTTGGACATCTTGTGACAAACCTGCAGGGGAGGTTTTGTCCCCATTTTACAGATGAGAAAACAGAGGTTCAGAGAGGTTAAGTGACTTGTCCAAGGTTACACAGCTAGATGCGAATCCAGGTCTGTCTGAGTCCTAAAACCAATAGTCCTTCCTGCGGTTTCCTGTTTGACATCTTCATGGGCATAGGGAGGAGTTGGGGACCTGAGGAGAGTGGCAGGTTGCACAGAGCATAACTCCCATCACCGGCCCTCTTTGGTCAGTGAGACCCGTCTGGTGGAGGTGCTGGAAGGAGTATGCAGCAAGTCGGACTTTGAGTGTCACCGCCTGCTGGAACTGAGTGAGGAGCTGATGGAAGCCTGGTGGTTTCACAAGTGAGTGTGCGGGGAGCCTTCCCTGGGAGGGGCCGCAGGAAGGACTGGGTGTTGGCTTGGTGCAGGGGTTTAGGGTTTCATACTGCAGGCCATGCCCTAGATCTGCTGAGGACTTACTCAGAATCCCAAGCTTCCATTCAGCTTCAGTTTACCTCTCTGCCGCCTGGAAATAGGGCATTGGTCAGGTGGCCTGATGGATTGTCTCACAGAAGCTGTGGTGGGGTGGGAGGTGGGTGGACAGCAGCCCTGACACTATTTCCCCACCACCCCTGCCTTGTCCCTGTCTCAGGCAGCAGGAAGCCCCGGACCTCTTCCAGTGGCTCTGCTCAGATTCCCTGAAGCTCTGCTGCCCCTCAGGCACTTTTGGGCCCTCCTGCCTTCGTGAGTTTCTCAAATTCCTCTTGTGAATGGAAGGCATGGGAGGGGACTGCTGAGGCCAGGGACCCAGTCCTGTGTGATCTCAGCTTGCTCAGATACCTCTCTAACTCAGTTCTTCCCTCCCTCAGATTAATTCTCACCTGAAAATCAATGAGGGAAGGCTTTGACAAAAGGCACAGATTAGACTGAGCCAGATGTGGCTGTGGTTAGCATCCTTTGGATAAATGCTGGCTTCCTAGCTCATTTCCAATTCCTGGATCTTCCAGGCCCCTGTCTTTCTAGGGAGGGTCAGGCAAAGCCCCTATTGTCACCACCATTCCACATACTCAGTTCTAAGGCAGGAGGAGCTCACTTACTACTGATCCTTGTAAATAAAATTTCTTGAAACTGCCAATAGACTGTTGACTACAAAGATGGTCCACCCAGTTTTTGTTTAAGTGGAAAAAAAAAAAAAAAAAAAAAGATTTGTAAATAACCTCATTTTGCTTAAGTAATTTTCAGAGTTCTATACGGCAAATTATTATGTTGTCATTAAAATTAAGTTTATTACAAAAGATGTTCAGCGGTACGGGGAAATGGTCTCTGTATCCAAAGTGGTCTATGTAAGCGTTTCCCTTGTTTGGTGTCTGCCACAGCTTGTCCTGGAGGTGCTGAGAAGCCCTGCGGTGGCTACGGGCTGTGTGAAGGAGAAGGGACTCGAGGGGGCAGTGGTCGCTGCGACTGCCAAGCTGGCTATGGGGGTGAGGCCTGTGGCCAGTGTGGCCTTGGCTACTTTGAGGCCGCGCGCAACGCCAGCCATCTGGTATGTTCGGGTAGGTAGCCACAGGCCGTGGTGCTGACGGGGCAGGTGTGGCGCAGGTCTGCCCTTCTTCATGCCGCCCTCATTCTCCCCAGCTTGTTTTGGCCCCTGTGCCCGCTGCTCAGGCCCTGAGGAATCACACTGTTTGCAGTGCAGAAATGGTTGGGCCCTGCATCACCTCAAGTGTATAGGTGAGTGGAGCCCTGCTCTGGGTCTAGGGAGGATGGGCCACGAGGGGCCTGGGCTTGGTCCAGATTCCCTCGATACACAAGACCCTGGGCCAGACCAGCACTGTCCCATCTTCATGGAGAACTCAGCCTGAGTGGTGGTGGTGGTTATGTGCCGTGGAGTCGGTTCTGACTCATAGCAACCCAGTACAGGGTTTCTGAGGTTGTAAATCTTTACGGGAGCAGAAAGCCTTATCTTTCTCCCATGGAACAGCTGGTAGTTTCGAACTGCCAGCCTTGAGGTTTGCAGCCTGATTCATAACCACTACACTACCAGAGCCTGAGTAGGAAGGCAAAAGAGGAGCCAGGCACTTAGTGTTCACACTGATCTTCATGCAGTGAGAGCTGCATCTAGTCCAGGTCAGTGGAGAGGCTGGTGTGGAACCAGGAAAAGCCTTGGACAAAGTATCTCTTTAAAATTGAGGAGGGGTTGAAACTGAACTCAAGGAAACCTGGACTGAAACTTGGTGTAGTCCTCTCGACACTATGCTGCTATAACAAACAGTGGTTTGTCTCTGCCAAACCATTTCATCTTGAACAAGTTTGTTCCCTGCCTTCAGCTTCCTGTTAGTAACAGAAAGACTACAATCCCCCTCTCTACAGACATTGATGAGTGTGGCACAGAGCGAGCCAGCTGTGGAGCTGACCAGTTCTGCGTGAACACAGAGGGCTCCTATGAATGCCGAGGTCAGTATCCACTCTGCAGAGGAGGTGTGGGAAGCAGCTACTCCCTGTCTGTCCCTCCACACTTAGACCTGCTCAGGTCCAGAACCCCCCTGGGCCTAAGAGCAGCTCTCACTCTGTTCTCTCTGGTACTCCTCAGACTGTGCCAAGGCCTGCCTGGGTTGCATGGGGGCAGGCCCCGGCCGTTGTAAGAAATGCAGCCCTGGCTACCAGCAGGTGGGCTCCAAGTGTCTCGGTAAGTCTCCTGCTGCTGGGCAGCATTCCCACCATGGATAGAGAGAGAGGGGACTGGAAAATGGGTTTGAAGGGGAGGACGGGAGCAGTGCCTAGGCACAGGATGTGAGCAAGATGGGGTCAGGTTGCTCAGGAGCCTGACCCCATCTTCACCTCCCTCGAGATGTGGACGAGTGTGAGACAGAGGTGTGTCCAGGAGCAAATGAGCAGTGTGAGAACACAGAGGGCAGTTACCGCTGTGTCTGTGCCGAGGGCTACCAACACATGGAGGGCATCTGTGTGAAGGAGCAGGTCCCAGGTAAGCCCATCACCATCTCCAGAGGCCCCACTCCACCCAGAGACTGTACTGCCAGCTAGGGTTTAGTGAGCTCACATCCCATGGTACGAAGAAAACTGGAGTTGGCATCAAACCCCTCTGCCTCACCTGTCAGTGGGTCAGTCCTCTGGTCCTGCCTGCTGAAAGCATTGCATGCCTGTCATACTATTCCAAGCACTTGATATGTACTGATTTATTTAACTGCTCAGACAACCATAAGCAGTAGGAATTAGCCTCATCCCTGTTTTATATCTGAAGAAACTAAGACAGAAAGAGGTGAAGCAACTTGCCCAGGGCCACACAGCAAGCAGGTTGCAGAGCTGGGGTTCAAATCCAGTAGTCTGACTGCCCTGACTCGCCCACTGTATGACCTGAGCCAAACTCCTTCACTTCTCTGAGCCAGGTTACTGGTGCAGGCTGTTAACTGCCCCTTGTAGAAGTTGATCTGAGCAGTAAGTGATATGTGTGCCCGCCGTGCTAGGTATGCATGGCAGCAGTAACAGTCTGGTGTATGGGAGCCCTGGGAATGCTGTGACCAAGGGTGGGAGTGACTGGCAGTGGACCTTGTCCCTTGACAGAGTCGGCAGGTTTCTTCTCGGAGATGACGGAGGATGAGCTGGTAGTGCTGCAGCAGATGTTCTTTGGTGTTATCATCTGTGCACTGGCCACGCTGGCCGCCAAGGGTGACTTGGTCTTCACTGCCATCTTCATCGGGGCTGTGGCTGCTATGACTGGCTACTGGTTGTCCGAGCGCAGTGACCGAGTGCTGGAGGGCTTCATCAAGGGCAGATAATTCCTGCTGTCAGCTGCAGAACCTTTCCACTTGGGCTGCCCCCACGGGTTGAGCCCCTTCCTGCCTGGACACTAGAGGCCACTTGATTTCTTTTCCAGAGCAGGGTTAGCACCTCCTGCCCACCTTCTGGAGCAGCCCAGACACCCAGGCCAGAGCAGGTGAGGCCCCTGGGAGGAAAAGCAGCCAGAGGGTGGGTGCCCTAAGATCTCAGCCTGTAGGACTGGACAGGCTTCGGTGTGTGTGAGGTTTTTTTTGTTTTTTTTAAAGAAGTTTCTCCGAATGATGGCTGCTAGTGAGCTTTGGTCCCTGCCAAGGATGGGGTGGGATCTAGGTAGGGATGGGGCCATCACCGCCCTTCCTGCCTGCTGCATGCTGCCAGCTCCTGCTCCTACTTTGTTCCCCTCAGCCATTGATTTATTTATTCATCTCAGGAAATAAAGAAAGGTCTTGGAAAATGAGAAACTTTCACTTTACTACTTCTCCCCCTCCCCCTAGGTTGGCCTAAACTATTGAGAGGCTGCCATCCCATTCTAAAACCCTGGGAAATTGAGGGCTACCCTGATAGAGGAGTAGCGGGCACATGGAGAGGACACTTGCCCAGATACAGTGTTAGGAGAAAGGGGATGGAGGAATCAGGCCTACAAGCAGAACTTTCTGGATTCATTAGTAGCTTTGCCATTTGCTGAAATGCCACTCTTCTCATCTATTAAATGGTCGTGATAATGCTTTCTACTCAGGCGTAATATGAGAAATCATGAGATTACGAATGTGAAAAGCAATAATAGCCAGCCTACAACAGGCTGTAGATGTTCAATAATGTTGATAAGCTATTACTGAAATCTCCCCTTTCTCTGGAAGTCGGTCCCTCCCCAATATACACAAGACTTGGAGTTATTAGGGATGAATAGGGTTCCTACCACTCCTTGGCTTGGGAGTGCGGGATCCTGGCATTGTGAGAGGAAGGCGTGAGCCAAGTCCTAAGGATTTATTTCTTTGGCACAAAGAGCACAGTCTGGACAAGCAAGCCTCATCTCTCCACTCTGGGGAGACTAGAGCAGTGCTTGGGGCACATGATCCCGGTCTCCAGTACCCAAGTCCGTGCTCTTCCACCCTGTATTCCGTGCAATTCGTGGCCTTTGTGCAAAATACCCACTGAAAAAAATAGATATATATTAAAAAAGAAAACACAGGTGGTGTGGGTTCACTTCTGGCTGTTCTTGGGGAGCTGTAGTCGGTTGAAGATCCAGGGATGCCAGGTTTTCAAACGCTCTAATGTCTGAGTCGGCTGAGCCAGGCCACCATTGAAGAAGGGATCCCATCCTGCTTCCCCCGCACCCTTCAGAGCTCAATGGTGTCACTGGAGGCGCTGCGGGAGTCCCCGGGTTTGCAGCGAGGCTGGACCTCACCTTGGGGCTCCCCAGGCCGAGGAGGGAGGGCAGAAACAGGGTCAGAGGATGGAGCAGGCAGTAGTTGCACCGTGCTGGGCAGTTCATCTAGTGGCAGGCTGTCCACTGATGACAGCCCATGGCGCCACGGGTTCCAGCTGATCTTGAGCGAACCCCGGGAAAAGCTGTCCAGGGAGCTGCCAGAAGCTGCGGCAGCTGCTCGGTCAGCCTCGTCCATGACGTGCTGTGGAACTGGGCCACGCACGCGCACATCGCTGAGGGACCGGCAGCGGCCGCGTAAGAGAGTAGAGCCCGCACCGTCGAGCTCTGAGTCCGGGTGGCTGCCTCGGCGCGGCCGCAGAGCGCCCCCAGGCGGCGGAGAGAGCAGGCCGCGCAAGCCACAGCGCCGGAAAACGCTGTCTCTCACCAAGTGCTCTCGGAAGAGTGCGGCGTCGATGCTTCGGCTCAGATTGATGGGTGACGGTGGGCGGAAGTCCAACTCACTCAGCGACGGTGCCGGCCCCATACTACTACGGGACAGTCCCGGGCCAACCTGAGGACAGCGGCCCAGCGATGCAGCAGAGCCCCAGGCACCAGAACTGGGCGTGGCAGGCAGTCCACCCTCTGCTGGGTTTCGGATGAGGGTCTTGCCGATGTCTAAGCTGCCTGCGCCAATGCCACTGGGTCCTGCATAGCAGTTATTGGGTCTCTCCGGCACCTCGCTCTTGCCTGATGGCACAGGACAAGCCAGGCGGAGCAACTTAGCCCAGCAAGCATGCTCCGTGGGTGGCCTGGGCCGCGCAGCAGCCGCCGCCGCTAGCGCCAGAGCCAGCGCCCAGGTCAGCTCCAGCAGGCGCAGCCAGAAGTGCACGCCCCACCAAGCCCACGAGAAGCGACCTACTTGGCCTGGGCCGGGGTACAGCCATAGTGAGGCTGCCAGCTGCAAGCCGCTGGCCAGCAGCCCCAGAGCGCCTGCCACGGCCAGCAGTCGTGGTCCCGGGCTGGTGTCCCAACCCCTTGGCCCATCCAGCAGGCGTCGCCGGCATAGGCAGAGAGTACCCAGAGTCACGGTTGCGCCCCAGGCGCACGATAAACCCTGCACCAGGAGGTTGATCGTAGGTCTCGCCGACAGAAGGTCTGCAGCAAGCAGCCCCAGGCCGTGTGACGACGCCAATGCTGCCAGGAGGAGCGGCTTCTGCAGCAGCGGTGGCAGCCCGACGCCCAGGCCCAGCAGGGTCAGGGCTGCCAGCGCTGTGAGCAGCAAGGGGAAGGGTAGATTGTAGAGCATCAGGCCGGCATGTACACCTAGCCGCGCCTGCGAGCCGTATGGGTCGGTAAACATGTAGGCTGAACGAAGACCAGACGCCAAGAGCACCAGCACTGCTGCCACCAGTGCCAGCCGAGGCCCTGCAGGAGCAGCTGCCAGAATGGCCAGCGCCAACAACGCTGGCAGCAGGAAAAGTGCCCCCACTCCGTAGACATGCAGCTCCCAAGAAAAGCTCAGTACTCGCCGCAAGGGCCCCCAGCGCAGGGGGGGTGCAGTGACATTGGCTGGGGGGCTGGACGCTGGAGCTGACGTCATGGCGCTGGCTGAGGGCTCTGGAGGGAGTGGCTGTGACAGGGCTCGCTGTGTGGTGACCCTAATGAGGCCCCGGCGGGAGGTTGAGGGGGCCTGGACTGGGGGTGCTGGGGGATGGCTTTGAGGTCGCCCCGGCCACTCCTCGGCTTCATCTGCAATAATAACATTAAAACAGCCTTTTGAAAAATGGTTTTGATTTTCCATCATTTTTGACTTGTGCAATCAGCAAACTACTTAACGTTTCTAAGCACATCGGTAAAAAGGGATGGTCACAGCACCTACCACACTGGGTGAGGAGTCACTGTTTAGAATAGTGCCTAACATCCAGGAAGTGCTAAATGACTGATAGCTATCATTTTATTAACCCTTCCAGGGAAGCATACACCAGCAGTTCGCAACATGGCTGTATATTAGAATCACTTAAGAGACCAACAGAATCAGGATTTCTTGGGAAGGGGACTAGTCAGTGACATTTTTAAACAGCTTCTCCATGGATTTTGAGAGTGGAGAATCAACTGCCCTGAATAAACCCATGTTACATATAAGAACATTCTAGCCCCAAAGGGTACATGTCATTTCCCAAAGTACCTAGAACGTATTCATGTCTTATCCTGAAAGAGATCCTGTCCAATTCCTCTGAGCAGGTGTTTGTCTCATTTACTCAAGCCCCCCACATCTATACCTCATGCAGGCTCTTCATAATTAAAGCACTCTCTCTCCCCAGACTCCCAGCCAGGCCCTCACCTGGATGTAGGGCTCCTACAGGGCTCTCTGTTCCATATGTAGCTGTGCCAGAGTCTGAGGGTCCAGGGATGAAGGATTTGGGGGTACCTGGGGTCTCCACTGCCCCTCTCACCCGCTGGGCAGAGATGGGATCTGCTCCATTCATTGCTGCTATCTCTGAAAAAACAAAGCAGTTACAACCTTGCCTGGCCCTCCAGTGCTCCTCCAAATCTTATTCCCTCATTTTAGACCCAGATGGACTAGAGGTCACACAGGGGGCTCCAGCTATCTTGGAGCACTGCACTGCCCTGCCCAGCCCTGCTCAGCCCCCTCCCTTTGACACCCACCTGGACTGGGCTGTCCGTCAGGAGCCTCTGAGGCTGGGGGGCCTGAGAGCTGGGGTCCAGGTGAACCCTTAGCATCAGGAAGGTTGACCTTTTTTGATGGGGTGGCTGGAAAGTTGACTTCCCAGTTGTTCCCAGCTCCAGCCTTTTTTGGGGGCGCAACTGGCAGTTCCTCAGCAGGAGGAAGGCTTCTGGCCAATGCCAGGTCTGACTGGGCCCCAGGATCTTGAGAGGATGTTCCTTCAACTAGGGACACTGAGTCAACATCAGGGGCTGCTGGATGCTGCTGGGTAAAGAGGGGGCCTCCAACTGTTTCCAGGAAGTCTTCCTCTCCCCAACCCTGCTCAGTCAAGACTGGACTCCTTACAGTGCCCCGGGGAGGCCCAGGAGTGTGGGGAGAGCCCTGGTGGTCCAAGGAGGGTATTTCCAGAACCCTGATCCTGTCTTCTTCTGTCAGACCCACATCTCTAGGTAGCTGCTGTCCTGCCTGGCCTCCAGGCTCCCTCGGGGAGGGTGGAACTGTGGCTAGCCTGAGTTGGAGTCTGGGAGCTGTGGGAAAGAAAGTCAGACGGGGAGGCCTTATTGGATAGGGGACTACGGTCTCCTGCTCCAGAGGATCCTGGGAGTCAGGAGGTCCTGTCCATCCCTGGAAGCTGGGCCCTCGTGCTGTCTGGAGGTTGTCAGTAACTGGGAGTCCCTCTCCCTGAGTCCAGTGGACTGTTTTGGGTCCATGCAGGGCTGGGTCAGGGGGAGCATCTGTGGGCTTCTCAGGTGACTCTTTGATAGGGACCTGGGGGACACCAGAGTTCCAGAAGCGCTCATCTCTTGGGTTCTCCCAGAGAACATCAAGGGCCTGGGGGTTTGTGCCCATGGGGCCCTTGGGGTGAGCTCCCGGGATTGGGAGTGGTTCTGAGTCCTCAAGAGGCCTGGAAAGGCCCCTGGCCAGGGCAGGGCCACTTCCCAGGGGTGGCGGTAGCAGGAGCAGCAGGAGCAGCAGGAAGTCACAGACGTGGAAGATCATGGTCCACAATAATGCCTGGGCCTAGAGCCCTCAACTCCAGTCCTCACTGGATGAGCCTAAAAAAGGACAGAAAAGATGACACATGAGGCTAGGGGCTCCCATGCTGTCCCAGAGGGGCTGGGTGGGGAAAGCAGAAGACTAACCTCAGGCAGCAGCTTCTCCCCTTCCTAGGAGCTCAATCTCTCCATCTACCCAGAGTGACCTTTTAAAACTGCTCCTCTGGCTATGCCACTTGCCCTGCTTCAAAACCTTCAGTGGAGCCCCAGCGCCCTTGGGAGGGAACAGAAGCTCCTCTGCTAGCCTTCCCAGGCTGTGCCAGGCTGCTCACCTGTCCTCCCTGACACCTGTCGGACTCTCTGACGCCACAAGCTTTAGCTCCTGCTGTTCCCTCAGCCTGAAATGCCCTCTCCTCCTTCATTTGCTGAAATCCTAGTCTTGAAAACCAGCTCGAATATCAGTGAGGTAGAAAGGGAGCGGAACATGCTTCCTGCATTTGAGGAGGGACCCAGCTTCACCATTTCCCAGGTGAGTTACTTTACCTGTCTGCATTGCTATTTGTTCATCTATAAAATGGGGATAAGAGAAGCTAAATCAAGTGTGTGTGGGGGAGGGTAGTGTGTTAATATGACTTAAGTGTTGAGAGAGAGAGAGAGATGAAGGGCTAATTTACAAAGGGGGTGACAAGAAGGCCTCTCTGAGGTGACATTTATGCTAAATGCTGAATGATAAGAAGGGGCCAGTTATTTGAAGATACAAGAAAGCATTGCCAAGAAGGAACAGCAAGTACGAAGGCCTTGACACAGGAATGAGCGGGGTAAATTCAAGAAATAAGAGGACTGGTGTGTCATAAGCACAGCAAATGAAAGAGAAAGTAGCAGGAAGTCCACTGTAAGGTACTTAAATGCTATTTCATATTAAGCAATCAATGTTCAGGGCTGATTAATGATTGTTGATATTGAGTGCTGTTGGGTTGGTTCCGACTCATAGTGACCCTGTATAGGGTTTCCGAGGAGCGGTTGGTGAGCTTGAAGCACCAAGTTTGTGGTTCAAACCAACCTTGCAGGCCAGTGCATCAACTCACAGTGCCACACCAGGCAGAGCTCTGATTAGTGTCTAGTATTTTTAAGAAGGGAAAGGGGCTCATGCACACAGTTATGATGGTGGCTTGTGTCAGCTTAGTCATTTTCCTCCTGGCCCCTACCCTCCACGGTACTGGGCATCCTGTGTTATAATCTCCTATCTCTCCCCACTGATCTGGGGTTCCCCCAAGACTGGGTTTGCATCTTTCATGTCTTATCTCCATTCTCCTGCCCTCCAAGACCACACACAAGGTGCTCACCTAGCTCCAGGTATATGTTCATTAAAGTTCCTTAGAGTCCTTGGACCAGGAAGGTAGGAAGGGACCCTGAGGCCAGGAGAGGGGGATGACAGCTCCGAGAACTGGAACTTGGATGTTTGCTAATGGAGACCCAGTCCCCTTCCACCCTGAGAAGCAGCTGTCCTGTGGCTCTCTGGCTCCTAACTGCTGGTGGCTCACAGACCTTTTGACAAGAAGGTCTAAATCCAAGCTTAGACTCCGTCTTAAGCCCTGGTGGTTTATGTCTCAAATCTTCACGTTGGTGGGGGGTGGGGGGAGTTGCTCTACTGTGCTAAGGATGAAGCCCAAGCTCCAGGGTTGAAGTATAGGTGAGCTGGGGGGGGGGAGGTAGAGGGAGGAGGAGGGGAAGGACAGTGAGGTCCCTAACACAGATATTAGTTAACAATAGTGCTAATGCTTCTCCAGTGTTGAGCTCTTACCTGGTTAGGTTCCTGGGCTAAGTTTAGCTGCAGATCCTCTCATTTAACCCCTCGAACACAAGTAGATGTTGTTATACCCATTTCACAGGGGAGGAAACCGAGGTTCAGAGAGGTTGAGCAACTCGCCCAAGGTCAAGCAGCAAGAGAGTGGACATACTCGGGGTTGTGGAAGTACACAGTAGCTCATTTTGCACAGGGGGTCTGGAAGGCTTTGCAGAAGAGACAGTTAAATTGGGCCTTCAATGAAGAGCATATGCAATCCGCCCACCATCCCCAACCCAACAGAGCAGGTTCCTGCTGACAAAGAGGGGGCTCGCCAAGCACTGCACCCCCACTGCTGGAGAGATCCGGGATGAAGGGGAAGGGAGTTCCTTGCCGCAAGGGCTGGAAGAGGACAGCTTGGGTATAGGGCAGGGCGGCCGCAGGGCAGCCTTCGGGAGCTGGCCCATCTCCGGTTACCTCTCTTCCACCGTCTCCTGGCCCCTGGCTCCGCGCCTTCCCGCAGTGTCCTGGGTGGGGGTGGGTGCTGTGTGGGCCCCTCCGCCCGCGCCCACGACCGGGGCTATAGGCCACGCTCCCTGCCGCGGCTCTGCCATCGCCCCCTCCCTCGGCCAGCTCCTCACCTGGGCGCCGTGCCCGCAGCCCCCGCGTTCACCTTGCGCGCGTCCTGCAGCCGCTCTCCGCACTGCATCCTCCGAGATGTTCAGACTTGGCTAACAGAGCCAGGCGCTGCCGATCGCGGAGCCCGCCCACAGGAGCGCCAACCCAGTTTAACTCTTTCCCCTTAGGGGTGGACTCTTCTCCTAGTCCTGACCTCCTCTCTCAGAGATTCTCAGGGCTAGAGGGAACCGGAGGTCACCTAAGAGTCCATATAGAAATCCCTTCTGCTGCATGCCCTAAAATGGGGCAGCCAGCTTGTTTGCATACCTCGCAGGGTGGGAAGCTCACTTCTTTTATGCAAATATAGTCATACAGACCTATCTGCTTACCTACCAAACCACTTGCTTTCCAATCAGTTTCGATTCCTGGCAAGCCCTGATAGTGTCAGAATAGAACTGTGCCTCATAGGGTTTTCTAGGGCTGACTTTTTGGAAGTAGAACACCAGACATTTCTTTCAAGGCACTTCTGGGTTAGCTCCAAGTACCATCGAAGGACTCCCCTACCTACCCACCAACCTACATACCCACCTATTCGTAAACCCCACTTACTGTTTGCCGCGTGTATTCCATCTTTTCAGTCCACAGTCACATACAAGTGGTGCGCACTTTAAGTGGAAACTTCACACTATACATATTGTCGTGTAGCTTGTCTTCCTCCCTTCACTTAGCAATACATTCGGACATATTTTCATGTAAATATCTACAGTTCTATGTAGGTCTTTTTCTTTTATCCGCTGTACAGATTTTCAGTATATGGGTGACTTTTGATTTTCATTTATCCAGACTCCTATGGTTGGACACTGAAGTTGTTCCAAGCTTTTTCTAGTAGGAACAGCAGGATAGGGACCTTTCTTGCACAGACATCTTTGTGCACATATACTATCAGATAATTTCCTAACTGGGGAACAGTTAGGTCAACAGGTCTGTAGATTTTCAGTTCTGATACTGATACCTATTGTTGAGTAGCTGATAACTATAGTTGAATATTGTAGGCGACTCTGACTCTGTTGTTTGTTGTTGGGTACTGTCAAGTCAGTGTTGCCTCCTAGTCACCCTATGTACAACAAAACAAAACACTGCCCAGTCCAGTGCCCACCTCACAATCATTGCCATGTTTGAGTCCATTGTTGGAGCTACTGTGCCAATCCGTCTCCTTGAGAGTCTTTCTCTTTTTCATTGACCCTCTGCATTGTCAAGTATGATGTCCTTCTCCAGGGACTGGTTCCTCCTGATAACAAGCCCAAAGTATGTGAGAGTAGGTTTTGCAATCCTCACATTCTGCCTGAACTTTTTCCAAGACAGATTTGCTCCTTCTTTTGGCAGTCCATGGTATAGTCTACATTCTTCACTAACACCATAATTTCAAAGGCATCATTTCTTCTCCAGTCTTCTTTATTCATTGTCCAGCAGTCACATGCATTAAGACAATTGAAAATGTCATGGCCTGGGCCAGGCATACCTTAGTCCTAAAGTGACAGCTTTGCTTTCTAACACTTTAAAGGGGACTTTGCTCAATCCAATATGTTGTTTGATTTCTTGACTGCTGCTTCCGTGGATGTTGATCATGAATCCAGGGTAAAAAGAAGTTCTTGACAACTTCAATCTTTTCTCCATTGATCATAATGTTGCTTACTGGTCAACCCAGTTGTAAGATTTTTGTTTTCTTTTATGTTGAGGTGTAATCCATACTAAAGGCTGTAGCCTTTGATCTTCTTCAGTCTTTGCTTTGAGCAAACTGCATTATCATCAGTTGTTAATGAGTGTTCCTCCAATCCTGATGCCTTATTCTTCTTCTTGTAACCTAGCTTCTCGGATTATTTGCCCAGCATACAAATTGTATAAATATGGTGAAAAGATACAACCCTGACACACACCTTTCTTTTTTAAAATAAATTTTTATTGTGAATTGAGGAAAAGTTTACGGGGCAGATCATCAGTTTTATATTCAACAAATCATATACCTTGTTTCATTACAATGATTATAATCCCCTCCATGTACCATCAGATAACAGTATTTCTATTAGCTTTAGCTCTTCTTCTTCTTTTTTTTTTTTTTTTTTTTAACACTCAGGCATATATAATAATTTACACCACCAAAGGGCACATTCTGCAAGTCTGCCTCTTGGCCACCAGCTCCCAGTCCCTCTCTTCCCATGAATCCAGAGTCCTCAGCTGCTCCCTTTCTCCATGTCTCCATCTCTGCCTCCATCTCTGCTGTCACTGCTCCTCTGGATAAGGTCTTGCATTCCACTTGACACATATCTTTCTTGATTTAAAACCACCCAGTACCTGTGTTCTGTTTGATGATCACCTCTTGGTTTATGTACAGGTTTCAAATGAACACAATAAAGTGTTCCTTTTTTTGTTTAAATTCACCCTAGTGAGATTAAAACAAGAGTAAGTCAGAAAGTATTGCTACTAGGATTCCAATTCAAACATGGGTTTATTACACACAAAACGTTTTAAAATGTATCTCTGGGATCAGTGGGTGGCTGCAGCAATTTCAGTAATGCTTAGTTTCATGAGCATGTCTTCAAAAAAGT